CGGAAATCCTGCAAATGTTCCAGCCAATTGATGCCAACTGTGGGATTGTGCATTTACACATTGCCCGCTAACTTTGTTCCACTAAGTTGGTAAGTTCATGAAACATGTTCTGTTTTAATGCCCCAACAAAACGGGTCCAGACCTGAAAGCTCACGTCGCCCAGCGAAACCAACCCCTTCAGCGGAAGCGTTTCGGAGGCTCAGGTTGGGCCATCAATATTTCATGGGCAGACTGGGAAGACCACGATACGTGCCATGATTTGTTTATTTATTTTTATTTTTTGGGTGGGCATGATAGGGCATGGTTTAAAATGGCCTTCAAATGCCACCGTAAATGGGCAAGTTGGTTGTGGTTTATCTTTGGGTCTTGCACGTTAAAAGTGTTGGCGGGGAAGCCAACGCCAATTTGGCCGCCAATGCCGGGTGACGTCAGGGATATGAATCATACCTACACATACAAAAAATATATATGGAGGTTTCTCAAAACGGGGGTACCCCAAAATAGATGGTTTATCATGGAAAATACTATTCAAATGGATGATTTAGAGGTACCCCCATTTCAGGAAACCTATACTACATTGTTGTGCCCTGAGTTAAAGATGGACTTAGGAGCTTTATAAAAGGAATTAGGGATGTTAAGTTGAAGTTATGTTAGGTTTGGCTATAGGCTTCCGCATCCTTCCGCATCCTTCCGCATCCTTCCGCATCCTTCCGCTTTTCTCGCTGCATGTCGTTTCCTGCGCTTTTGATCTCGAAATGTTGAGAGTTTCTGGCAAAAATAGCGATTCGGGTGAGCTTGGGCGAGAAAAACAGCTACGGATTTCAGTCTTGAGGAAACACACACACACACACAAAAAACACATTTTTCACACATGCGTGTTTCCCAAGCACAATGGTGATGAGAGCTGGAAACACAATCGCGTTCTCTTGCCATTTTGGTGTTTTAATGAGGATACACATGTGCGTTCCCGATTGTTTGTGGAAACACATCCCGAATGTCGAGATTGTTGAGCACCGTGTGTATAGATGTGGAAACACATTTTTAACTTTTTAACACATACGCGTTTACAATCACTTTTTTTGTCTCTGCGTGGAAACACATACGTATTTACTTGTTCTGGAAGTATAAAATATCTAGAAACACATGCGCGCATTTCCTGGTCATCTTCTGCCATGCCTCCAGGGATTTTGATGAATGAAAAATTGTACCATAAAGGACGCCCAAAACAGCTATCTCTGCTGACTTCTGTTGTTTTTGATATCTGCTATCTAATGAATCTAATGTGAAAAAATATCCCTATCTAGAGATTTAACTCTAACCTGACTTATACAAGTTACCCCCCAATTACAAGTATAATGAAATCATAATTCAAAATTACATCCATACATAAAATGATTTACATCTAAGGGCGCAACATTGTACACATGCATTATACACAAGGAATATGAATGGTCTTGCATCACAAAGGAAACAACCACATACATATTCTGTAGAGGTGCATGTATGCCAATACTGCCGAAACATCAGATACATGCGCAATACGATGTGTGCAAAAACAAACATGCATATGTCTAAAGAACCTTAAGTGCAATGCGTCCACATGATGAAGGGTGCCATCTCAGTTGCAGTAGGCCAACAAATCCTAAAGGAAGATGATAGATCATCCATATATCAACATATATCCATATGTATTTATACACAATGTATTTATTATTTTATTGACCTTTTCCCAACATTGGCCATACATGGATTCGAATGAAATGATGAATATACAATTTGGTAATTTGAATTGAACGTATACTGTATCATTAGGAAATTACCATTTTTTAATAGTAAATCATCATAAATATACTATAAATCTATAAATGCGCCAAGTTTCGTAGTTATGCTACAGAACTAGAGGATACTGGATGCATTCATATCATTGGGGTGATTTTTTAATGCCCAGGGGACCATCTGAACAGTGGCTGCAAGATACCCCTATTGGTTGATGTTTAGTTCGCAGATTGTAATCGTTTTTTTTTGTGGAATTACATATGATTACATATCATAATCTATGCACTCCATGAACTGGGAGTTCCGTTCTTAACCAGTCTAACGGAACACGGGCATTTTATGTTTTGTTCGCATACCTTACCAGCCAGAGATGACAACCTCAGGGGCCGACTAGTGACCTCAGTAGTGAATTGTTGTAACTAAATGCCAAGCAGGTGTGTATACAATATATATATATATAGTATTTATTTATATTTATATATACTCATATATATATATATATTTACATATATATATATATATATAAATGTTTAGAGCATCTACATACATGTGTTGTGTATAGTATACAAATAGAATACTTGTTGAATGATATACCTTTCGTTTGCCAGGTTTTGGAGCTCACGGGGCTAGATTCGCACTTTCAAAACACCCGTTACACAATGGAGGTTTTTTGGAGCGTGTTTCGCGCTGAAACACATGATGTTTGTCGACCAAGTCGACGAGATTTAGTGTCATCAAGACATCTCCAGACCCGGCCAGAAAAAGAATGGAGTTAGGGGTCCACTAAGACATGGCTAGGTTTCTTTTGCGCCATGAGCATGGAAAACCCTAGGCCCTAGACTTCCAGGAAGAAGGTGATTTAGGTCAGTTTTAGGACTTTTAGGTTTGATGTTCTTTGATTTGTAAGGCAAAAACCTTCTGAGTAGGTCTTTGGAAGCGGAAACGAGACGATTTTGACCACTGGATCTGTCGCATTGGGTGATTTGCGTTTGTGCAATAGCTATCCAGGCTGGCTAATTTCGAAGCCGATAGCATAGTACACATTACAATACTGTTGTAGTCCTTAAAAGTTATACATGGTTTATAACATCTTACAACCACATTTAATGTCAACATCGGATTAATCAACCCCCCCCCACCAGGTAGGTAGGTAGGTACCTTCTGGCTAGTTTTCTTGACCACCCCTTAATAATAAGCAACTCTGAACCATAAACATTGGGGAAAGATTTTAGATGGATAAATAGATAGCTTTCCCAAACCGCAGCCATTTTGGCTCTTTTTCAACATTTTTTTTTTCCCTGCTCCCCTTGTTGGGTAAACCAACAGATTCCTATGAGAAAAGGTTTTTTTGAGAGAAATGAAATGGTTTCATGAAGTGGTGGTTGATTAATCGGGGGGTAGGCCCCCCGCTTTATTAATCCTGGGGGACCACCCTTTTTTAAATTGCAAAAAAAAAATTGGGCAGACGGGGTTGATTAATACCGCGGGGATTATTAATCCTAACTTGACATTAAGTGATATATAACCTTAGTTGCAGGAATTGTAATCCCATTTATATCCATGTATAGTGTTAAGGGCAATGCTCATATGAATGAATGGTCACAGAGAAACGCTGATTTTGAGATGTTTGCGCAGTTGGGATCTGTTAGGACCTGTCAAGTTTGATTCGTAAAAAAATATATAGCCACAGCTATGGGTCTTTGGACGATTGATGTTGCATTGAAGAGGACCAGACTTGGACGGAAAGAAGGTGCTGGAAGCGTTGCGTGAAAAATCCAGGGCCATCAATTCACAAGGTACCCCAAAATGAATGGTTTCCAATGAAAAATCCTATGAAAATGGATGATTTGGGGGGTACCACAATTTAGGAAACCACCACATCCGCAATCTTTTGAATAGTGTGTTTCAATGATCAGCAGTGGTCAGTACACATTTTATGCTGTTTGTGTTTTTTGTTGTTTTTGTCTTGGCGATCATGAGCGCATTGGAAATGTACCAAGAAAATATTAGCGCCAAGAAAATGGGGGAACAATAATTCAATACACAAAAAGGTGTGACATACTTGTCAATACAGGGAGAAATGTCAGAAGCAACATTGGGCAACTATGGTTTTCTCATTGCTAAGTGTTGAACATGAGTCTTGAGATCCACTGGCTGCCAGAGGATAAGGTCAATAGCTGGCCTCCCAACATGTAATTCCCATGCAATGTAACCTGCATCAGCATCCATGAACTAGTTCGAGAGATCTACCAAAAACCATCATAAACCCAGGTGTGTGAAGCGTGAAGCTAGCTCTAAACCACCATGTTGGCCAACCGATCACAGCGCTAGGTTCGTGCCCTGGGGTGTTCCCCCGATGCATCTTTGCACCTCATTGCATTGGTTCAAGTGCCTTCTTCGGCGCCCAGTCGTCCTGGGTTGGTAGCCGGTGATCCACAGAATGCCATGCTTGTCAAAGAGACTGAATGAATGGTAGCCATACATTTTTTGGCCTTTACGTTATGTTTAGTTTGTTTTTGTTTTTGTTGGGGCAAACCTTTCGGACTTTCATACTTGAGATTACTTTTGTAACTTGCTACAAACGGTTTTATTATGTGTATATATATAATTATATATATATATATACATATATACTTAGTATAAACCATATAGCTTCTTTTCAATAATGAAGGGTATCTACGATTGGCCTTTTTTTTTCGGAATAAACCGGTTGAACTTCGCCAAGGACATCATGTCGTCACGGATCATGTTCCCAGTCTTTGCAGCGGTGGTGGTTGTGACAAGTTACGCTGCAGCGGACAGCGTCAAAGTGATGTTTTTGCACAATCTCTTGGAGACTTGGTTTCGCCGTTGTTCGCTCTAGATTGCCGCAAAAAAACCGGAGCATGGATCCAATAGACGCATATATATATGTAAATATATTTATATGTATATATATATATATTATATTATTATTTGTTTTATCATTAATACACTATATATAAATATATATATATATATTCTAATGTATATATTAATATATATTCGAATGTACATATATATATATATTATACTGTATTGTATCATATAATATTTTATTATTTTGTATCATATTATAATATAATATATTTTATATTATATAATTTTATTTTAATTATGTACTATTTTAAATTATGTATTAAATGATATCATGTAATATATTGAATTCGTATATGTATTATCTTATCTTTTATATATTGTATATATTTTCATATATATATGATATATTTTTATATATCTGTATATTATATATCATTATATTTTACTATATTATATTATTAATTAAATCATATATATATATATATATAATCTCGATGGCATACATAGAATACAGAATCGATAATTTCGGCCTCCAGAAGCATCTTCCGGAATCGGTCAAAAAAAACCTATACATAGAATAAAAGCATCTTCCGGAATCGAAAAAAAAAACTATACATAGAATATTTCCGGCTATCCATTTTGATCAGGGGAAAAAAAAATCTCAGGTTTTGCTGGATTTCTGCAGCCGCCCGTGATTCAAGCAATTCCTTTAAATTTGGCAACTCGTGGGGGGATCCTATTTTGCAATGAAAACCAATGGAATTGGGTGGTGTTCCTCAAAAAATTGATGAATATTTTCAATGGGGACCTATATTCTATGTATGTAGTTCTGCAAGGAATTGGGTCTCAGTCATGTATAAGGGTATATATTATATACGTAATTTGCTTTGGTGAGCAGAAATGTTCCTAATCTAGAACGTACCCCGAACTGATCAATTTCTTTTTATATTGTATTTAAAAACATGAATTTTTCAGGTTCACCGAAGGGTACCCCCCACGACTGGTGTCGTAGAACTATGAAAAAAAACTATTTTGCAATGAAAACCAATGGAATTCGGTGGTGATCCTCAAAAAAATTGATGAATATTTTCACTGGGGATCTATATTCTATGTATGTAGTTCTGCAAGGAGTTGGGTCTCTTCCATGTATAAGGGTATATATCATATATGTAATTCCCTTTGGGGAGTAGCAACCCTGGATGTCTGAAGTTCCTAAACTACAACGTTTCAACAAAAAAACAGGTCACCCGAAATGACCGTTTTTTTTATATTGTATTTAAAAAATGAGTTTTTCAGGCTCACCGAAGGGTACCCCCCACGACTGGTGTCGTAGAACTATGAAAAAAAACTATTTTGCAATGAAAACCAATGGAATTGGGTGGTGATCCTCAAAAAAAATGATGAATATTTTCACTTGGGACCTGTATTCTATGTATGTGGTTCTGCAAGGAATTGGGTCTCTTTCATGTATAAGGGTATATATCATATATGTAATTCCCTTTGGGGAGTAGCAACCCTGGATGTCTGAAGATCCTAAACTACAACGTTTCAACAAAAAAACAGGTCCCCCGAAATGACCAATTTCTTTTTATATTGTATTAAAAAATTGTTTTTTCAGGCTCACCAAGGGTACCCCCCACGACTGGTGTCGTAGAACTATGAAGAAAAACTATTTTGCAATGACAACCAATGGAATGGGGTGGTGTTCCTCAAAAAATTGATGAATATTTTCACTTGGGACCTGTATTCTATGTATGTAGTTCTGCAAGGAATTGGGTCTCTTTCATGTATAAGGGATATATCATATATGTGATTCCCTTTGGGGAGTAGCAACCCTGGATGTCTAAAGTTCCTAAACTACAATGTTTCAACAACAAAACCGGTCACCCGAAATGACCAGTTTCTTTTTATTTTGTATTTAAAAAATGAGTTTTTCAGGCTCACCGAAGGGTACCCCCCACGACTGGTGTCGTAGAACGATGAAAAAAAAACTATTTTGCAATGAAAACCAATGGAATTGGGTGGTGATCCTCAAAAAAATGATTCATATGTTCACTGGGGACCTATATTCTATGTATGTAGTTCTGCAAGGAATTGGGTCTCTTCCATGTATAAGGGTATGTATCATATCCGTAATTCCCTTTGGCAAGTAGCAACCCTGGATGTCTGAAGTTCCTAAACTACAACGTTTCAACAAAAAAACAGGTCACTTGTATTAAAAAAATGAGTTTTTCAGGCTCACCGAAGGGTATCCCCCAAGATTGGTATCGTAGAACTATGAAAAAAAAACTATTTTGCAATGAAAACCAATGGAATTGGGTGGTGTTCCTCAAAAAATTGATGGATATTTTCACTTGGGACCTATATTCTATGTATGTAGTTCTGCAAGGAATTGGGTCTCTTTCATGTATAAGGGTATATATCATATATATAATTCCCTTTGGGGAGTAGCAACCCTGGATGTCTGAAGTTCCTAAGCTACAACGTTTCAACAAAAAAACAGGTCCCCCGAAATGACCAGTTTCTTTTTATATTGTATTTAAAAAATGAGTTTTTCAGGCTCACCGAAGGGTACCCCCCACGACTGGTGTCGTAGAACTATGAAAAAAAAACTATTTTGCAATGAAAACCAATGGAATTGGGTGGTGATCCTCAAAAAAATTGATGAATATTTTCACTGGGGATCTATATTCTATGTATGTAGTTCTGCAAGGAGTTGGGTCTCTTCCATGTATAAGGGTATATATCATATATGTAATTCCCTTTGGGGAGTAGCAACCCTGGATGTCTGAAGTTCCTAAACTACAACGTTTCAACAAAAAAACAGGTCACCCGAAATGACCGTTTTTTTTATATTGTATTTAAAAAATGAGTTTTTCAGGCTCACCGAAGGGTACCCCCCACGACTGGTGTCGTAGAACTATGAAAAAAAAACTATTTTGCAATGAAAACCAATGGAATTGGGTGGTGATCCTCAAAAAAATTGATGAATATTTTCACTTGGGACCTGTATTCTATGTATGTAGTTCTGCAAGGAATTGGGTCTCTTTCATGTATAAGGGTATGTATCATATCCGTAATTCCCTTTTGGCAAGTAGCAACCCTGGATGTCTGAAGTTCCTAAACTACAACGTTTCAACAAAAAAACAGGTCCCCCGAAATGACCAGTTTCTTTTTATATTGTATTAAAAAAATGAGTTTTTCAGGCTCACCGAAGGGTACCCCCCACGACTGGTGTCGTAGAACTATGAAAAAAAACTATTTTGCAATGAAAACCAATGGAATTGGGTGGTGATCCTCAAAAAAAATGATGAATATTTTCACTTGGGACCTGTATTCTATGTATGTAGTTCTGCAAGGAATTGGGTCTCTTTCATGTAAAAGGGTATATATCATATATGTAATTCCCTTTGGGGAGTAGCAACCCTGGACGTCTGAAGTTCCTAAACTACAACGTTTCAACAAAAAAACAGGTCCCCCGAAATGACCAATTTCTTTTTATATTGTATTAAAAAAAAAGTTTTTCAGGCTCACCAAAGGGTACCCCCCACGACTGGTGTCGTAGAACTATGAAAAAAATTACCCAGAACCCAAAAAATGTTCAATCTGCTGGGTTTCACACATGTTTTCGATATGGGAATATCATTATTCCTATGGTATTTGCTTTGGCACTGTTTATGCAATCCAAAATTCTACCCCAAATATTTCTACCCCAAATATTCTAAGTTTTTTTTCTGTCCAAACCCGTAGGGTTGCAATAGGGCATATTCTATGTATCCCATCGGGATTATATATATATATATTTATTATTTTATTTACACTATATATACACATTATATATTTAGACTTTATATGTATATATGTATTATACATGTGTTCGTTTATGTTTGTAGAATCTTCAATTCAGCCAGCTTGTTTGTTGTTAGCTTACTAAATCTGGGGAAACAAAGACACGTGATCGATCCCTGAGCGTCTTGGCCCCGTTGGCCCCGTGGGTCAACCAGGAAAGAAATGCCGGCTGGAAGGCAGGCTTTAACGACTTGTTCGTTCCAGTTCTGAACTCACGGAATGGTTTCACTATGTCGGATGGCCAAAGATATACGATGGACACAATTCTCTGCGAGGAAAATTTGGATACCAACGCAGTTGCGAAGGTGCAAGGTTGCGTCGCTTGCAGATACAAAGTTGCGTCGCTTTTTTGAGGTATATTTTGTTTCATATTAAAACTGGATGTGTTGTCTGGAGGATCATATCAGTCATATCCCATTTAGCTGGCTAACAACCATTCACAACCCCTTGCGAGTTACAATTCTAGGGATGATCCTAGAAGTAGTTGGGGGTTCAAAAGATGTGAAAAGTTGCCTGTGATGTTTGGCCCTAACACCGACTTTGCGAAGTTTCTAAAGATTTGTTGGTGTGAACAGGTTTAAAGTTTAAACATCAAACTTAAAGAACAAAAAACACTAACACCAACTTTGGATGTCAGTTGTTTTTTGTTTTAAGGTGTTTAAAGCTGACCCTGAGCTAAGTGGTTTCGAATTATCCAAAAGGCGATTGGAACTGTGGCTTTGGCCACACACACAGAAGTGAAATACTATGCGGTATATAATATTACATAATTCATGTTTTTTTTTAAATATACATGTGATATATATATAAATTTATATACATGTGATATATACATGTGATATATACATGTGATATATACATGTGATATATACATGTGATATATACATGTGATATATACATGTGAAATAATGTTAATAAATATAATATATATATACATGTGACTCTTCCAGGAGTTTCTTTGCATTTCCAGATATCATTGTTTTATAATATTTTACATCTTTGTTCGTTCAACGATTCGTCTTCCCTCAGGTGGACATGGCCCATGCGGAGGGAGTCGATGCAATCGTGGTTGCCACGTCCTCATTCAATGACGACGTGAAGACGGCCGCGGAGGTTTATGGGATTCCGAACCTTCATTGCTCAGGCTGGGGACTCTCTTTCTCTCCCTCAGCATATACCCTCTGAAAGTGGCCCATTTATAGATGGTTTACCTATTAGAAATGGTGATTTGCCATGGCTATGTTAAATAACCAGAGGGTATATATATATATATATAATATTTTTTTGGGAATATATTAGAATATGAAAAACATATTATTAGTATTCTGATCAATGCTATTGTTATTTATTATATGTGTCATTGGCAGTATGTGTTATTTATTATATGTGTTTTTGGCAATATTATCATTGCTATTCCTTTTCGAACCTATATATATATACATATATATATATATATGTGTGTTTCTAAATTTTACTTGTGTCACAGTATTTTTATTTCATATTATTTCCTTAGCAGTCCAAGACCTAACTTTTAAACTTTTTTTTTTATGTAGCCTGCCTTTTGATCATAGTTTCTTTGATGTTATGTATGGTGAAGTTGCCGTGCAGCCGCCAGCAATGTCAAGCTTCTGCTGGGGCGAGGAGATAGCAAAATCTCCAAGGGTGAGGAGAGAGTAAAAACTAGAATTGATTAATGTACCCAATTCTTTAGAAAATAAAGCGTTAGCGTGCTGCGAGTGGCAGAAAGTAGTGGCGCTCCTGCACTCAGAGAGTGCGGCATATCTTCGCGGCCAGCGTTGAGGAAGAACTTTTTGGAGTTTGGAGCGCGTCCAAGTTTTGTTTAAAACGCAAACAATGGTGTCTGCACATAGCTGGTCTTTTTAAAGCGACGTATTCTTGAACTAGTGTTTGGTTGAAAAGCTGTTTCGAGCCAACACAACCAAACGCGTTCGCGCGAAACGATGTCCTGAAACCTTCTTGGTCCCAGCCAACATGTTCAATATTTTTTTTAGCACATTTCGGAACATGCTGTTCGGCTAAAACATTTGTTTATTCGATTGATCCACAACATGGCATTTCAAGGCCATTGCTCTGACATACTTTGCCAAACTCAAACCACGACAAGTTTAGACACAGCTTCAAACAAAGGTGAAAACATCGCATTTTCATACTACAAGAACTCCGGCCATAAGCCCCATTACAAACCTCACGCCATTGTTTTGATTTTCAAGGGGCGAAAATGTGATACCTTTAGCCCTTAGCCCTTAGCCCTCCAGTGTTAAAAGATGCGGCACGTGCGAGGTGAGACTTGCACAGCTATTTTGGGTAGAAAGTTCAAACTTTTAGATGCCTGGAGTTTGGCTGGCTAAGTTTCCTATCATTATCATATTATATATGTACACATCTATACAGATAGAATTATCTATACATATACATATATATATATATAATTATGTGTATGAATATATATATATATATATGTTTACCATTTATTCCAGTTTGTCTAAAAATGGCAATTTTTTTTGGGTCCTTTTGGAACCCCATGTCTGAGCCATAACCTACTTGCTGGTACCGGCGCACAACTTACACAACTTGGATCTCTGGGTTTTTCACAGACATGTGTTTCAACAATCTTTCCTCGTTGATGAAAGTGCGTTACCGTCAAAGAGAATCCACTATCAAGAGTTTTGTGATTTTGTGATGAGAGACCAAAAATTGTAGGTTCTAACCTATAGGCAAAATCTGTGTAGGACAAAGTGCTAAAAGGAACTCGTTCCCCCAAAACATGCTTAAGGTTCCTTGAATTTTGGTGAAGCTGAAGCAATGCTTCCACCAAATTCTCCGTTTTTGAGGGTACTCAACATGAGCACAATTTTCTGCGATTGCTTTGCCCTTAAGTGTTTTTTTTATCCAGACACCATGAGAGGTGGATTATCCCAGCCCTGGTGTCTTTCACGCGCCGCACAGCACTACAGGTAATATGTGAAAGTCCCCGAGCAAAACATCTTTCCTGGAGAGTGTTCAATATTGGAACGATAGGATTCATGGATGCTGGAATTGATGGACTGGTGGATTTTTCACATCAAAAATGAATCCATCCCTATGGATCCAGCCCTTCTGAAAGGAAGTGGGACTGGGGTATAAACAAAACTCAAAAAAAAGGAGGCTTCGCCGTACCTTCACAGCCATGGATCCATTGGGCACCTAGGTGGAAATCCTTTGTCGTGGACTCTTGCGACTCCCCACGCCTTCGGCTTGCACTTGCCCTTCCAGTTCTATTCTCGAGCACCGCTGAACCAGGCACGGACGGTGCCGGTGTGTGGAACGACGATGTTCGTCATGACTGAAGACTGATCCCGAAAAAGCCTCTGGTAAACTCTCATAACTAGTGAAAATGGCCCATTTATAGTTGATTTGCCGACTTACCTACTAAAAGTGGTGAATTTCCATATATATATATTGTATATATATATATTATATATATATATATATACGCATATATATTTATATATATGTTAGTTTACAAGAAGGTCTGTCCCAGGATAATTCTGGTTGAAACACTGTTAAAATTCCAGTGCACATCGTTTCGTGGTAAAGCCCAGTCACCATAGTCACCATAGAAAATTTCGTAGCCAACCATCGAACTCATATGAAATCAGACAAGCACAATGCCATCCCTAATTGCGGTTTGTGAAATTGGGTATGCTGTCTATTTGAAATGATGTAAACATGACCCCCAGTCATGGCTGGTGAATGGGATAGTTTATGGCATTCTTTTTACAACATTCATGGCAACAAAAAAACAATCGCCACTCGCCACTATTTTCATGAAAGTAGCATTATTGATAGCTGGTTGGTGGTTTGGAACATTTGGAATAATCATCCCAACTGACTTTCATATTTTTCAGAGGGGTAGGTCAACCACCAGCTATTGTTGGGTTTACCACAATACACATCATCCCATTATTGGGGTATGCGTATACTAGATCTTTACGAGCGCAGTTGAAGCCGTGAACTTGGGGATAAAAAACATGTCACAGTCACCAAAATCGCCCAAGGAAACATGGAATCCGACAAAGCCATATACCCTCTGGTAGACTAACATAGCTATTGAAAATGGCCATAGAATTAGTGAGTTTTCCCATTAATAGCATGGTGATTTTCCTTAGTTATGTGGCTGTTTAGCAGAGGGTATCCACTTCAAATCTCACTGAAACTGTCTTTTGTTGGGTTTTCATGTGAATTGCTGGGCTGTCTGGCGATTTTTCTGGAAAATCATCCCGGGTATGGCAATGAAACCATGGCCTCTCGGGTAGATGATGTGCGTAGAACATTAACGAGTTTTATACGTATCTATGTTTATGTTACATTATCGATCCTTTATGCACTTATATATACATATATTTATATATATAATTATATATATATGTACAAAAATATACATATATATATACATATTTATGTACACATGTATATACACATACATGTGGAATCACACATCTCCTCTATTGTATATCTTGTACCTTCAATAGACTAATAACTCCTACAATCACCCAACAATGTATATATGAATCTACCGGACATGAACGCACACATTTCTTACTTACTTGTTAAGATCCCAGTTGAACGTGTAGTCACACCCTATTCACCAAGCACTTATCTCCTGACATTATCCCTGTCCAGCATCATTTCTGGGTACAGTTCATGATTCCTTTAATTATATAGGTACAACAGCCCCTACCTAGTCTTCCACTATGGAGGCCCCAGTTTGTCGGCCAATCAATAGATTGAGATATCCTCTTTCCGGCACACTTCCGGGATTTTTGTGGTGCAGATGGGGATATACATGGATATGGCCAGGGTTGTATTTTTAATGAAGTTGTAGCTAATATGGTGACACGGTGACACGTACTTTACTCGTAACTAACTGGAACTGAACTCTGCCATGTAATGTGGTATCCCATAGCTAGCCAAGTTGGTTTATATACAACTGGAAACACAACATTCCTTGGCACCACCTTATAACAATGGAATTGTGGTTGGATTATTATTGAAAACTACGGAATAAGTTGGGGAAACTATAGGACAAGTCCATAGCCATATTTCACCCTGCAACCGAGGCCTCCCAGATCCCATATTAATCCATATTATATATCCTTTGACATTCCCATCATATCCCCATTATATCACCATAGTGTTGGTTATTTCCCTACTAGACTTCCCATTTGTCTCCCAATTTGATGGTGCAATCATCCCAGACACAGACGCTTTCCGGTAAAACTACCCACAGTACCCCAGTTGGGAGATACCCAGGAAAAACCGCATGAATCCCCCGTGAAAATCCGCCTTTTTGGGTGAAATCCTATGGTTGCTGAAATTCCATTTTTTAATCACTATGTGGCGGAAAATCACCGAAAATTATGAAGATATAGATGAAAATCTTCATTTCTTGCTTTAAATCCATGGTAAACTCGCAATTTATAGAAAAACACCTCCATTTATCTGGGTAAATGATCATGACCGAACCCTGTTCTCCCGAACCCTGGAATCATGGTTTTTATACGGGAATATCCCATTTTATGGCCGCAACATTGGTGAGTGAATTATTGTAATTTGCCAGATTGATGATTTTCCCATCTAAACTTCCATGGCTGGTCCGTGGATTTCCACTAAACATCGTTGCCTTGTTGATGATACCTAGCGGCTCTTTATCCCATGGAAAATCACCATTAAAATCCTATGAAATCATCATCAAAATCCTTGTCTGGAAAAGTGTCCCATGTATAGATGTATTGTTCAATTTTAAATCAGGATTTTAGTGAATTTTCCCATTTCTAATCAGGATGAATAAGGATCTGTTGTCTAGATGATTCTCCAATTCTTATAATCCCAAAGGGTAAATCCCATTTGTTGATGGTTAAACCGTTAAACCTCCATAGGTTCATATCATTTTCCTATTGATAGTCATCAAGTTCCATTGAAATGAAGGTAGAACCCATTAGATCACCATGAAAATCCCATCATTAGGTACAATGGATGAAAAAAAAAGGATGATGTTCCCATGTGTAACATTTTCAATGGCTAAACCCCGTAAATCCCCAGCCTGAAGAGGCCTCCCTGTTGAACTTCTCCTCGGTTGTGATCTTGCGTGACTATGACTGGTCCTTCGTTCGCACCTCTGCGGTCAGCGCGGCAGAGTGGAGTCGCATGGCGACGCTGCGCCTGGTGGGGCCCACTGAGAGATGGTGCTTTCGATGGTCCAACAAGACACGGACCTGTGGCTTGGTGGATTTTCTTAAATGTGTTGAAATGGGATGTTAACAACTGTTAATATATATTGATATATATATATATATATGTGTGTGTGTTTTATATAATGGGATTTTGGGATTTTGGATGATGTTAATGGGATTGAATGGGATGTATTGCGAATTCATTCATGGGATTTAATGGGTTTTAATTCATTTTTTGTTGATTCTATGGGATTTATTCGGACTATCTACGATAATGATAGGAAATTATATGAACCACAAATGGACGCTCCGTCTCAAGAGGGAGGCTTTGCTATCCACTAAAGTGGGAGCCAAGGAGTTTCTTAGAGTATCCCAAGATATCCCAAGCACATGGTAGTTGAAATGTCAGTGGATATGATTTACACTCTGGTAAATTCACATAGACCCGGAGAATCACCAATGTTTGATGGAAACTATATAATCTTCAAACCCCGAAAAATGGCAGGGTCCATGTTGATTTCCTGGAGAGTATATCGTCTATATGGGATTGAAGGAAGAACAAAACTAGATGGATTATTGCCATACCTGTGATTTTGAATAGTTTTGGTAGATTGGTTTACCATATACCACTCAAAGTTGAGTTGTTGTTGTTGTTGTTGTTGTTGTTGTTGTTGTTGTTTTAATGGGGGACCCACACTGTTTACATTACAACAAGGGTTCCATTCAGAACTAGGCTATATAACTAGGATAGATCCACAAATGACGCATAATGTTGGTGTTTAAAGGGTAACCATCTCCGATTATCAACCAGTTGCGGCAAATGAACGTATCCTCCCTTTGGTAGGGGTGTATGTGTCTATATATATATATATTATACACAATAAGCTATATAAGTACACACACACACAATTTCAATGAATTTCATAAACAAACCATTCTGGGAGTGTGTATGCTTGGCGCACAGTATATGGGATATCACTGGAGTATGGTTTTGAACATGTGACGCAGCCGTGCGCCGTGTATCATCGAATCATTGTCCAAGTTTGGGCGGTAGACGACACGCGCGCCGCCGCGCGCCTGATATTTGTAACATGTTGTAACCATCAAATCGAAGCCCTTCCGACACTGCTAAGAAAACATGGATGCAACTTGGACTGGTTTGGATTTGAAGCAGAAACCTGTATTTCAAAAAGTCGGGGAAAGCAGGAGAGAGCCAGTTGGTACCTTCCCCAGCAATGTTTCGGGGTTTCGGGTTGCTAGGAGATAGAGATCTATCAATCCCCCATCCAAAATGATCCAAAATGGAACTAGTCACACGGCCAAGTTTGTGTATTCGTGCGTGATTCACCCAAATGACTTGGAAATTACCAATCATGTGGTAAACGCAATGATAAACTATCCCCAAGTTGGGCTCATTTTTCGCCGCTACGCCCCTTTTGGATGATGCAAAATGACCCCACACATGGTTGATGGGATGAAAAAAACTACGCAGTGACTACATGGGTTTCCAACGTTACCCTGCCGCTGGTTTTGTTGTTTTGTTTATGGCAATTGCAAGGTGGCGTGCGCAGTGGCGGTTGCAGATGTGGACTGCAGAGTGAATTTGATGCCCGCTGAGAGCAAAACCATAGCTGATTTCATGCTTGGTGGATTCAAATATTATTTGTTCTCGTGATACAACATATATAGGATGATGATTTGAAACAAAAACATGTTTTTTAAATCGATTTCTCAGATCATCCATTTCCAATCTGCTTCCTGTCAAAAGCAAATGGCCACAACTTGTCAAGTTTGAGATTGGATGAGATTCTTTAAAAATAGCCTCGCAGTGGGAGATTCAGATTACTGATCATTTAGTGCACAATCAGGCACAAAAACCGGGAATACTAAAAACAACCCAGTGGTTCATGTGTACCTCAAGTGTATCCTTAAGTGAACCGTGGATTCCGTGGATCCAACCTTCAGACATGATCCCATTGCTTTTTGTTCGTTTTTTTTTGGGGGAGGTTCATTCACAAGCCACGAGGATGCCTTTGGTTTCAAGTACAATGTGGATGCCTTGCCAAGTTTTTATGAAGTTTCTGAGAGCGCAGTAGTGGAGGATGGTTTCTCGGCTAAAAACAGAGACCACGGAGGGGTTGGACCAATCCCTCCAACCCCTATCCCAAACGCAATGTGAAACAGATTCTCAAACACATGATTTAACATTTAACTATTAAATGACTAATGTTAGTTAGTTAACATTTAACATTTGACGTCATTTGACATCATTTAACTATATAGTCAACTAATGATACTAATGATACTAATGACTAATGTTAACTATGACATCCTGTGACTAATGTTAACAAATGTCATGGTGCAATTTAACTATACTCAAGTTTTGGAGCTCGGAATGTACCAGCTGAAAGCCCAAAATATAGAAAGACAAGATAAGATTAGATTAGCTTAGATAAGATAGATAAGAAAGAACGAAAGATAGATATATAGGTAGAACAATTGACCAATATATATATATATATGTACATACACATGTATACATATATATATATATATATGTAACATATTGTAGACACATATAGGTACTACATACATAGATAGATAGATAGACAGGCAGACAGATTGATGATCCCTAGGTAGGATAGGATGGGATAGGATAGGTCCTTAGGCAAAGCTGGCTTGCAGCCATCGGGTATCCCCCCTCCCCACCGGTCATACATTGCGGATAAAAGGGCCCCACGCCCCACGTCAAAGGTGAGAAACCCCCAGATCAATGGAATATCCCCACTGGATTACAGGGGGTGAATCATGGCGTATATGTGAGTATTATGTGAATTATAAACCGCGGATCCGAAATGGGATGCATGTGGATGCATATCAAAGTAGATTCCACCATCACGTTCTATTATAAACACAATTATTCAATTCCAAATCCATGGGAATATGCAGATTATTTATAATTATTCCATATTGTTAGCTGTATCCCCACAATATCCACATGATAATCCGTAAATCGTTAGCTATACTCAGACCCTCCAAATAGAACAAAATGGTAATTAACAGTATATACAAAGACGATGGGGTAAAACACATTCTTTTAAACTAGAAATGGAGGGTTTATGCCCATATTTCAAGCCATGACGACCATCACCCGCAACATATCTCGAGGCTTTGACTCTCGGGCCGATGTGCTTTCGCCTGCCTTGGTGGAGTTTGTAGAGGGGATCATTGAGGAGCCTTCAGTAGCGACCGGAGAGATGACCAACCAGCTGACCTTTTTTAAATAGCGACTGGTTGACACAACAAGTATAGTTAATGGTGAATGATGATGGTTGATGATGGTTAATGGTTGATAATGGTTGATAATGGTATGGAAATTTCTCAAATATGATTTTAAATGGATGTTGTCCTTCACGAAATCATCTGTACATGGGTGATTGACAAATTGTCCATTGCCATATGTGATTAATTGTGATTACTGGGCCCATTTGAGTCATTAAAAATACCATGGTTGATTGGTTGATATAGGGACTTATACTAGCTAATGAAGCTAATGTATTGGGGATGGTGATACTCCACAGTAAAGAATCCTATCAAACAACTAGTATTTCATGAGATGGGATCGGGGTATCTTTAATGGTTTATTTGGATATGAGCATATGTTTGTTGGTCATATGTGTTAGTCCCTATGTTTCATGATTTCGTCCAAACTTCTCCTGAACAATTGCTGAATTGTGATCTCTCCTGGGCCGAATTGACTGGATTTCGGAGATCTTCGGAGATCTTGGGAAAAGTTCCAAGGCATGGCTTACCCTCCGGTAAACGTTTACATAGCTATTGAACATGGCCCATTTAAATAGTTGATTTACCCATTCAAAATGGTGATTTTCATAGTTATGTGGCTGTTTACCAGAGGGTAATGTTTTGGGCCCCGCTTGTTCGAATTCCAAGTCTGGCATCACGTGGCATCACATTTATGAACAAACTACCCTCTGGTAATAAACAACATCTGGACAAATCACCCATTCTTGTAGGTAAATCACCTCTAAATGGCCATGTTCTATAGCAAGTTAGTTTACTGGAGGATAACCTTGATTCTTTTTGAATGTTGACTGGCCATGTGCTCGTTGACCCTGGCCGAATGTGAACATTGGGGTGGATGTTTAACTGTTCCAGGATCATACAGGGATCTCACATTTGAATTCTTCATACTATCCAACCCGAATATCATTTCTCAATCATCTATCATTGCTACATACTTAACTACTGAAGGGACAGTTCTTCCGGAAAATTACGCGCGCACACGCGCGCACACAAACAAATAACGCCAACCTGGTCACTGACATCCAGAAAGAGTCAGTCAGAGGGGGTTGTGTATATACCATAATGTATGCATTTGTTATCATTTGTTTATGCGTTGAACAATGTATTGGCAATTTACTTGGACCCATGCCAGGCCTCGTTTGGGTTATTGAATGTGTTCTACATGTGTTTCGGCACTCTAGTGTCATGTGATACCACCTGATGTTCTGCACTTGTGGCATTTCTCAGATCATCAATGCGTGGTTTGTTGATGTTTGTACAAAACATCGTAGGAATCTGTTTATTGTGTTCTAGGACGCACATGCGCAGATGTATAATATAACTTAACTATGAATACCTCATTATATGTTAGTTCAAGACCTTAAAAATTAAGGGGTGCCTAATGGACTAATATACAGTGATATACATTGGTATACTACCGTAGTGGATCGTGCGCGCAAACAGCTCCGTCCGCTGCGAAAGGACGTGCGTTCTCAAGGAGCAGATCCGGACGTTGCAACTTGGACAGCGGACGGGCCCGGCGACGGAGAATGCCCGGGGAATGCCTGGTGCAAAGTCTTGATTTATGATCCGAAGTGCGTTTTGTGTTTGATCTAAACACAGTTTGAAACACATAGATCATTGGAAAGATGAATATATATATATATATATATATACATATGTTTATACATGTTGATTTCTACGTGCATGTGTGTGTAGTGTCAAGTGTAGTGTGTTTATTTTGATTCATTTTGGAACGTTATATATATATATATACACAGATATGTACGTTGTTCAACACACGAAGATGTGCCCACCCTGAATGTATGATAGCATATGAGTCTTTATCTTTATTTATCGGTTTGTATGATTATTTATCTTTATGAGTCTTTATCTTTATCTTTTTTGAGAAAAGGCTTTATGTTTTAAACATCTGGCGGGTGAGACGTGGATAAACGCTGGCTGCCTTTAGGCACGTTTGTGCTGTGCCTTGGTAAGGTTGTCATGGAAAATATATACAAGGTGCCTGGTGACAACTCAAAAGATTTATGTGGATATACCATCTTGTTACTTAACATAGCCATGGAAAATCACCATTTTTAAAAACGGTAAACCATCTATTTCTATGGGCCATTTTCCATGGGTATGTTCAATAACCAGAGGGTATACTAGGAATATATGGGTGTGTCGGAAAACAGAGATATACCGGTACACCCCAAAATATGTCGTTGTTGTACATGGGAAAATGATGATCAACGATCGGATATTTTTCGGCACCACTTTCAGCGAGCCCTGAGTGGGTCACCCATGGGTATTGATATACATACAGCCGGTAAATAGAATAGGTGGACTCAATAGGAAGATGATCACAAATATACCCTCTGGTAATTTAACATAATGAAAATCACCATTTTTAATGGGTAAATCCACTATAAATGGTCATTTTCAATAGCTATGTTAAATTACCAGAGGGTACTTTTTGAGAACAGCATCAGAATATCATGGCGATATAGTAGGAGACAAAAACAACAATCCTGATTCATTGCAACCGAAAAACTCATGGACTGTTTCCAGGGTTTAATGTGCCGTATTCTCTGAAGAGGGTAGATTTCAACGTAGCGGTTTCCATCTGAAATTTGAGTTGCTGGTGTTTATTTGGGGGCCGTATCGCCATTTCTTTGGCATTGAGGTTGTGAATTGGCTCACCGCTGCCCGCAGCGGTGCAATGGCGATGATGAAACAAAAAATGCGGTACAAAATGTATCTTGGCAAATCTGGGCTGTCTGAATATTTTTGATGACCCTTTGGGGCAGAAATGTTGCAACAAATATATATATATATACATATATATATACATATATATATTTATATATATATATATATTTGTTCAAAAAACACAGTGGTTCTCCGCTGAAAAGCCGTGAAGCCATCACATGGAGGACTATAAGGACTGCCGGTCCACTTAAGGGGAAGGATCACTACGTGCTGAGGCATACAGGTCCATTTTTCTTTCTATGCCAAGATTCATGCCAAAGTTCGATGTTCGACGTTGCAGCGGTGTCAAGATCTCACCCAACCAGGGGGCCGTAAAGGCTGCTACTCCCATGTTGCTCACCATGTTTTGCATGCGCACCTTGCGTACCTATGTATATTTGTATTTGCAGCATGTATACATATGTGTAAAATGCACATGCATATGTTTTCATATATATATTCACATTTCCATATACAGCCTTCAGCCTCTGCAGCAAACAGCAGCAGCCCTCACCAATCTAACCTTCACTGCCCACTGTCATGGCATGGGGGATATATGGGGATATATGGGGATATCCCAAGGTATAGAACGGATGGTTCTTGCACAGTATGTACTTGCTCTACGTGGTGATAGTGCCTTGTGTTCAAGACATCTTCAATACATTTAGCGCCCAACACCTTCAGAGGTGACGCTGGAAATGACAGCAGGAGCTTCGTCCGGCAGCGAATGGGGGCCAAAGGCTTGGCCGACAGGCCTTTGCTGTGATTCTGTAGTGCATTTCGTCGATCAGCAGCAAAGGCGAGTGCCAACACGTGGGCTGCAACCTGCATGGTGGCCATTTGCATCCGCTCCTGGCAATGTGAAGTCAGAAAGAGCAAGCAGGTCAGGCCACTCAAATCAAACATGACTCCTTACCACTGACAAGCCAATGCGCGGCGGGTCAACCCAATCGCTTGACCCAGCCCCGTTGTGCAAATGGGTCGGCCTAAATTGCTTGCTGACCTAAGTTTCTGCATGTAAATGTAAATATTATATAATATATATATATATATGCATATGAATATATGAGAAGTGTTGGCATGTCATGCCGTTGCTTATCTAATTGGATGCACTGCTGATGGACGTGTAGTCCATCTTGCGTTTTGTGGACTGAATTTTGCACGAGGAGAATTGTATATAATTGTATGTACTGTACATGTATGCAATGTGGGCTAAACGAAATTGCTAAGTTGGGGTCTACACACTTCCAATCACTCAGCTATGGTTTATTATATCTGTGCACATAAACATCAATTAACATAAATTAACTCAATATATATATATATATATATTTAACAATAATCAATATATATATATATATACATACACATATTAGCATCAATTGAAGTATAAGTGTATATAGTTAATGGATGTTAATGGGAAGAATCTAAACCAACATATACCTGGGGGAGGCCCAGGCCCTGCATTTGAGGTATTTTGGTGCTCCCCATGGCCCCGGACGAAGTTGGAATGGTTTCGAGCCGCTCGGGCCATATGGAGATATCATGGGTTGGATTTTATGGGATTTTACCGGGCATTTCATGGGGATTTTACGGAGATAAACATACAACAAGATGTGGAAAAGCCATATGATTTCCTTAGGATAATGGTCTACAATTGGTGGGTTTTCTGCATCTATGTGAGTTTGCAGGGAGGGTATAGATAAAGGATGTTTACTGTTTACCGGTTTCGGTTTACCGTTTACCGCATACAGCAAACTAATAGTATATGCTGTATTCTTTTGTTGTACAATATGATTGATCATGTTTGTCTAATGGTGTTTGGCTCTTTTCAAAAAACACGTATACTCTCAGTCATGGGAAAAACAATATATATATATATATACATTTAATGGGTGCAGACAATTCATACTCGGTTGAGATAGCCAACAACAGCCAGCGTGGGATTTAGTTCTAAAGTGTCCCTAGGGAGTAGTCATGTAAGAATTAATGGTGTTGGTTTTACATTGGTTGAATGCATCAAGGTGGTTGCCTTTGTTACTTTAGCAACGATTCTGCTTATGAGGTCCCTAATGCGCTGGCTGATCCAGTTGAAAGTAGGAGGAGATGGATATGGGAATTGGCGAAAGTAAAATGGGGTATGGTGGGACATACACTGTTAAGGAGTCGAAGATCCTCAAATAGAGGTCACAAATTGAGCCATGACATGACCAAATTAGAATTTGAAGGAGCAGGAGAATCAGGATGATGAAGATGATGAAGATTCTGAAAACGATCACAATGCTTCTGCTGCTGCTGAATCTGATGAGGAGGAGGACCTCAAGGATCAGGAACAGGATGTGGAGAGAACCATGAGGAGAGAGAGGGGGTGATGATAAGAAGGAGGCTGGTGAGAATTTCATCATGTCTATGATTCTATGATTATATACTTTTTTTAATCGTATCATTTTGATGATTTGCCTATATGTTTACCTTTTTGTTTGGCCTATATTAAAGTATGGGTCAAAGGGTCGAAATCTGGTTTCCTTACTGGATGGTATCTTTGGATCAAATTTGCAGGTTCAGTTTGTTAGTTGCCCTCTTGTAATCAAAGATGGTAACATGGCAATGGGAAATCCGACATATCTGGTTGGTGGTTTGGAACATTTGTTATTTTTCCATATATTGGGAATCATAATCCCAACTGACTAATATTTTTCAGAGGGGTTGGAACCACCAACCAGATATACATTTATACATTCATAAATAGTTTATAGATGCTCCTTACGTAAGGTATATTTACCTACATGACTGGGTGATTTTAATGTTGGGCACATTTTTTCAATCTTCACCATGGTTCGCATCTGGGAATTTTTGATTTTCCAATGAAAGCCTTCATTGAAGCGGGAATGTCGCTGGCCAGCGACCGCGGACCGCCGAGGACTTCATGGCCCAATGGCAGCGCTGCCATGGGCTTTGAAGCCGCAGCGTACAATGTGGGCGGCGGTCAGTGGCACGATGACTTGAGGTGTCCCGGCAGTTTTCGAAAAGTGGCTTCAAGGGGGGTATCAACATGTATCAACGGTATATTACATCAACGTTACCCATGATTTTTCATGATTTTTCGGATCATGGTGATGTAACATGATATAACCACTGAAATTGGGATTGAATGTGATAAACTGGTGGAAACTAGCTGTGAGAAGTAAGGATTTAGCCACTGAACAACGGATCTTGCTGAGATTTCCAGTGGTTATCCAGTGTTCGCTAAATCGCTCAATCGGTTGGTTGATTTGGTTGAATTCACTAATACCTCATTGTTTGGTTTATGGTAGATACTATATCTACAATTAATAGGCTTAGGAAACCGTGAGATATTTCTTGAATATCCAACAACTATCTAGCTGCGAAACTAATTTGCTGGATATTTGAAGTAGAACTGCAGGATGGCGCTTCACTTTGGAACCGCTAAGTTGGTTTATAACTATTTACAACTTTTGTGTCACTAGGATTGATGGTAGAGATATCGAACTAGTTATATTATGAGATGTTGAACCAGTTATATATAGTTACATTATATCTAGTAAGATGTTATCTTACAAGCGTCGTACTTACAACCGGTGGCACCTTATGAAATCTTGTGATGTCTTCGTAACTTATGGTGGTCCAGTCCAGTGAATCCACCGCGATGCTCCAAGGTTTGCAGATCCGTACTTTGAGAGTTCAAAGAATATGGCCTCAAGTCACTTGGATGGTAAATTTCATCCATTTCATCACCAAAAACTGTCCTCCCGAAGCCTGGTTTATCATGGTAAAACAATACGGGGAATCATGCCATTTTATGGCCGAACTATTCAGAATTATTCTAATTTACCCAGGTGATTGTGGAATGATGGAGTATGGGTTGGTGTTATTTGACCAAAAAAGGGGTGAAAATTCTGTATTCTGTGAACTGGAGATGTTTCTATTTTGTTTGGAGTATTAAACCCTCCCATATTGTAGGATTGAAGCCGCTCCAGATTCATCTTCTCCTGTTATCAAGATGAAGAAACCCACTGCGATGCAGATGTGAGTTGCCTACAGGCCTACACCATGTCCAAAGAGCCCAGACAATAGACCTTGAGAATCTTATCACCGAGTATTCAATACTTTGTATTCCATCAGTTCATCCTACTTAGGAAGTAGCTTATATACCTGGTTGTACAATCATGGTTTTAAGTGGAATAAGTAGCTAGGGTCAGTAAACTTAAAACAGGGAATATACTCTATTTATCTGGTTGTATGTTGTTTTAAGTGGGATAGTATTGTCAGTTCACTTACAACTGGGGCTACAATGCGGCTATAATTTGCTTACCTGGTTGTATGATCAATCGTGGTTGTTTTCAGTGGGATATATATATATATGTATGGTCGGTCAGTCCACTTCCAACTGGGGCTACCATCATCTTATCAAGAGGGGCGAACCACCCAGTACCACAACTAAGGGACCCCAATTGAATGATTAGATTTATAGTATAGGAACAAAGGTTCAATCATCTTGTATTTTATATTCCTCCGAAAGGATACTGTAACCAGTTGATAATCCAAGAAAGTTCTTGGGTGAGCATGTTCCATACCAACAGTCTATATATATATTATATATATATTATATATATTATATATATATATATACGTATATAGATATATGCATCGAATATACTAATAGAGTACAGAATGACCATCCCTTTTAGGGTTTCAAGAGCTATAGATCCATCGTATGTATGAAATCGATTGGTTGAGTCTTTTGTCCCTTTACCTACCATGTTGGCTGTTTTTTGCTCCATGTTTGGTTGGCAAAACCTACTTTTTGTATTTTGATTTTGTTCTTGATTATTTCGCCTCTATTTGCTGTTTCTGTTGGCTTTGGTTATCTTGGGTTTGTCCGAAAATGGGAATCATGGGTTATTTCCACATTAATGAATTGGTTAATAAATGGTTGTCTTTGGTTATCGTTGGTGGCAAACATGTTTATCTTTGTTATCAGAAAATGGGTTACAATGTGAGGCCCCCCAGTTATAAGTTGGTTTAGATTCGCCCCAGTAACTATAGTTATGTGCGTACCATAAACCATAGTTATTGGAGTTATAAACCAACTTAGCTATCTTGGGGGCCTCACATTGCACCATTCTGTCCTTAAAACTGATGGCTGATCATCACTTCAGGATATCTTCAGCTCTTCGGCGAAAGGCCCACGTATGATGCAGCGGCTTGTGCTGCAGCTGGTGTGACCTTGGCTCGGAGTTTGGAGAAGTGTCTTGGTGGCAGGTGATGTTCCAGTTTTGTGTTTGTGGATGTTGTTTGTTCGTTCCAAGATCTTCCAAGTATATGTATATTATATATATAATATATATATATATATGCATATGTGTGTGTTGTTTCTGTTCTATTTGTTCTACCGTATTTTTGTGTAGTTCCTCTTGTGTTTTTATTAATTTCTGTGCGTTTGTGCGTTGTGTTGTAGATTTCATGTTTAAGGTCTTTACACTCATGAATTAAACAGTTCCTGTTCTTGTGTGTCAATGACTGCATGTTGCATTCGGAATGGTACATATTACCCCCAGGTCTCATCCATTTATAGATCGGACTTTCCCTTATAAACCATCCAGCTATCGGGGTTTTCCATGTATGGAAACCACCACATATTCATACATCTTCTGCGTGAAGGTTGGGAAAACACGGGTAGATCGGGTAGCAGGGGTAGCTAGAGATGGCCACCTTGGATCATTTTCTGCATATTTCACTGGCATTGAGTGGCTATGAAGTATGATCTCCCACCATTTCCAGACCAAAAAACGGATTATGATATCAAAGCCTGGCCAAAATGGGAAGTGCCCAAATACAGTTTAGAGATTTTTCGAGTAACTTTGTTACAAAGAAATACAAGATGGTGCCCCTATTCGTTAGCCAAGTTGGTTTATGATTAATATAACTAGGCTTTATGGCGGATAAATCTAAAGTTAATAGGGGTTATGACATGTTTTATATAAACCAACTTATAACTGGGATTCACGACATTGTAGGTGTTATTAGCATACCCAGTATCTTATGGGGTGATACCAATAACAGTTGAGACTGCTACCATGCAGTATTAAAAAACATACTCTAGATTCCCAATCGATACATTTGCTATACACAATGACACCTTCTATAATTGAATACTCCCATATGGGAACCAAAGTGATTTGACATTGTACACATATATATATATACGTATAAATAAATATATATATATACAAATATATATATGTACATAATATATACACGTATAAATATATATATACAAATATATATATATATATGTACATATACACACATATTTATATATACACATTTGTATATATACATATATATATATGTACATATATATATATACATATATTTATATATACATATATACATATATATATATATACATATATATATAATATATACATATACATACATATATATATATATACATACATATATATATATGTATATACACAGGTATGTATGCAATATATATATATATAATTTGTATCACCTACTCATCGTAGGATGATCCATTGATTTCCCCAAGCCCGGTACGATATGTGGACCATGGAAGGTACGGTGCGTCGTTGCTCAATATGACCATTGCCCAGAGACGAGAGGAGATCCGCTTGAGCTTAGGCCGGCCCTTGTCCATGGTCGAAATTGACGGAGACCTCATTTCTTAGCTATTGAACATGGTGATTTACTTCGATGATTTTGCTATGAAAAATGGTGATTTTCCACTTCGCAGACTGTAAACGTTTACCAGAGGGTACTTCTAAATGGGGCTTTGGATTAGAAATGATGCTTCTCTAAGCTGGAAAATAAAGAACTGACCATGAAAAAAAAGTGGACTTGACCACCAAACAAGAGGGATTTGACGACCACATGTTGGGTCAACCGGGTAAACCGTAAACCCCAAATTCTCCTGGTTGATATAGCTTCGCATAAGAGCCTTGAATTGGGGTATATCACGGCAGTTTTGGAGAAACCCATACCATCCCATAGCCATTTCAATGGGGGAGATGCTGATCAATCATCAAATCACTATGGCCCTTAACCGTGCTGGCCACGGGGTGACATAACTCCTGCAAATTCTCGATGGTCCTGATTGGAAAACTATACAGATAAGAGGATTGAAACTTACCGGCTGTATTGAAACAAGAACTCCATTGATATGTATATATATATATGTATATATAATATATATAATACATTATGTATATATATAATATATTTAATATATGCATATATAATATATATATACATATATATATATATATATATGTTATGCAAAGTTACATACATATACAACCTATAAGATATAAATGTTCTAGAAATATACAATTCTTTATGCTAGAAGGGTTATATATTTATAGGTAACAATATATATATATATATATTAGTATTATATTATCAATTATCATTACTATTACTGTATATAGTATAGAATATATAAGACACATGTATCATGCATTTATGTAGAATGTGCCCAAGAATCGAGCACTTCTTTGCGTGAAAGTCGCTCTTTTTGCTTCAGCAAGCGGCGCTTTTCACTGATGGCACTTGAGCCATCAATAGTGCCCCTGTCGTTTGTTATGGGTGGGGACTAGTAGCTGGTTCAAGGGGAACCATTACAAGCCATAGAAAACAGGGAACGATGTACAAACCAACCAGGCGCAAGGGATGGAAAAGCGGATGAAAGCGGGATCAATATATGTCAATTGGATCTTGGCACCGGCAGGCCGAGTGAATGACGAGACCTTGTTCGGAACCATCACCTTCAGCCGCACCAACCAAAACCAGGGCCGGAGCAGTGTGAATTGGCAAGTGATGGTAGATGGCCATACCAGGCGGGAGATGTGGGAGGTAAGCTGGAAAGGATGGCGCTTGGAGCACTTTCTTTGCTGATCAAATCTATGTCTGAAATTCTTGCTGGTTAAATCCAGTATATTTTCCCTACTTTTTGCTGGCTATTTTTTCCCATCATTTTGAATAATGAGATCCTCATGTTCCATCATGTTTGGTGATGAAATCCATGTTTTCGCATTTTTTTCACAGCTCAATCATTTTCAATCCCCAGTTTCCCTCCATTTTTGCTGCTTCAGTCTCATTACTTGGGTGTGCATCCCACTTGGTAAATGGTTTACACCAGTATACCAGTAGATATGATGGATCCCCTACTAATCTACTATATATATATATATATATGTAGATACATACAGTAATTAAGATATACAGTAATATAATGTAATATAAATATAATAGATATATATTTACATTATTGTATATATTTATATTATTTATGGATTATAAACCACGGTTCCGATCCAAGTGGGGCGCAGCGCTAGGCCCGTCCTACCGGTGGATGTGGCCGTGACGTCCTGGCGCTCGCCGTCGCCCTCCTGGGAGGCCAAGCAGGGCTGCGCGCCCGGCAGCTTCGGGGTGGCCACGGAGTGTCGAGCCTGCAAGGCCGCTGGGTGGTGGATGGATCATGGGACGGAAAAACCTGGTTGGAACATGGGGATTTAAGCAAGATTACTGTATATAATTATATTTATTAATGTATATATATATATTTAATATATAATATATATATATATATATATATATGTTATTACATGTCATCTTATTTTTGATATGTGTTTGATATATTTTACGGATTTGACCTCTTATTCTGGGTGAATATAATGGGAATATTGGGGTGTAATGATGGCTAAGATTGGTAAGTAATGGTCAATAGTTGAAAATGGCTTTCAACGCCAGGTGTTTATGATATGGGGATATTATAGGATTTCGATGGGAACAATGGCATAGTAATATATATATATATATATCGATAAGAATAATGGTATAATCATTTGATAATGGTATAATCACCCAACAATGGGAATGTTCAACATTACTTCGAGCTACTACCTCAACGTCCCGATCCAAGTGAAGCAGCATTTTGATGGCAATCTTGCGATGATGGCCGGTCAAGTGGGTCAACATCAGCATCCGGCTTTGCAGACGGATTGCTATTTGTTTGAGCCTGCAAAGCAAAGTCAACCATGGACTTTGTGAAAAGTTTAGATTTGACGTGTACTTTACAAAGCTTCAAGTTAAACGAGCACTTCGACTTTCAGGGGAACATCGTTCTGCAGAAGTTTCACCTGAGGTTCTTTTGAAAAAACGCGGAGAATGGGCATTCCTCAAGGCGATTCACATGGGTTCAGCAAGCCAACTTGCCAGGGTGCCTTCTTAAGATTATCCCGTGCTGGTTTGCTCCACGGATCCAATGGGTATGTGTAACATGGTTTACCACACCGTTTATCACACACCTTTTACCAGTAGTACGACTATAGAGTATGTATATGTACATATATATATATATATTTATGTATTTATTTATTTATTTATTTAAGGGCTGACGCCCCTCGTCGGCTCCGCCGGATTTCTCGACCCTCCATTTCATGGCACTGTGGGCTTGAAAGCTTTTGGATGGGGACCTGCTTCAGAAATATATTCCTTATGTTTTTTGAAAAAAGTTCACGGAATATGAACTTTGTTGGAAATAGACGGCTTTTTTGGGGAGCAAGTGAGTTCCCGAAAGCTCCTGCCAAGAGGGTTTCCCGAAGAACTGCTGCCAATTTCAACTTGTTACTTCGTGTAAAGGCGCCTCTGTGCAAAGACTTCTCTGTGTAAAAGCTTTTGTGTGTAAAAGTTTCTGTGTGTAAAAACCACTTTGTGTAAAGACTTCTTTGTGTAAAAGCTTCTGTGTGTGAAAGCTTCTCTGTGTGAAACGTCTGTGTAAAGATTTCACTGTGTGTAAAAGCTTCCGTGTGTAAAAACTCTCTGTGTAAAGTGTAAAGGCTTCTCTGTGTAAAAGCTTCTGTGTGTAAACGCGTCTGTGTGTGAAAGCTATATATCTGTGTAAAGACTTCTTTGTGTAACAGCTTCTGTGTGTAAAGGCTCCTAGACGTTTGTGTGCAAAAGCTCCTTAGAGTAAAGACTTCTCTGTGTAAAACCTTCTGTGTGTAAAAAGCTCCTTTGTGTAAAGACTTCTCTGTGTAAAAGCCCCTGTGTGTGTAAATGCTTTTGTGTCATCTGTGTGAAGGCTTCTCTGTGTAAAACCTCTGTGTGTAAAAAGCTCCTTTGTGTAAGGACTTCTCTGTGTAAAAGCCCCTGTGTGTGTAAAAGCTTGCTGTGTGTAAATGCTTTTGTGTGTAAAAGCTCCTCTGTGTGAAGGCTTCTCTGTGTAAAAGCTTCTGTGTGCAAACGCGTCTGTGTGTAAAAAGCCCTCTGTGTAAAGACTTCTTTGTGTAACAGCTTCTGTGTGTAAAGGCTCCTAGGCGTTTGTGTGCAAAAGCTCCTTAGAGTAAAGACTTCTCTGTGTAAAACCTGCTGTGTGTAAAAAGCTCCTTTGTGTAAAGACTTCTCTGTGCAAAAGCCCCGGTGCGTGTAAAAGCTTGCTGTGTGCAAATGCTTTTGTGTGTAAAAGCTCCTCTGTGTAAAGGCTTCTCTGTGTAAAAGCTTCTATGTGCAAACGCGTCTGTGTGTAAAAACTCTCTCTGTCAGGCCTTCTTTCTTCGGCCTATGTTGGCCTATGTTGGCCTATGTTAGCCGAGGTTGCGCCTATGTTGGGCCTATGTTGGCCTCTGTTGGGCCTAGGTTTGCCTATGTTGGCCCTATGTTGGGCCAGCTTGGAGGCTATGTTGGGCATAGCTGGAGGATAGGTTGGCGATCTTGGGCCTATGTTGGTGAGATGTTGAGCCGTTTATGTTGAAAACATCATCTTCAGACACAACTTGGTACGATTTTTTCCGCCCCAGAAAGCCAAAACTGTGGAAAAACCTACGTTTTTTAACATCGCCAAGGTGCAATTCTGCGCCGCCGAGGGGCCCGAAACCCTGTATAAAACGATGTTTTTGAACACCAGGAGCAAAATACACTGTAAATTACAGGGTCATCAGTTGACACGTTGTCCCCCCTTTTTTAGACGGGGGTCGTCGGCAGGGGGGGCGGCCCTTATAACCTTCGGTTAGCACCGAAGGCCTCCGGCAAGGACACGGGCCAGCGGCCAGGTGGCCGGCGCCCGGATTTAAAGGCTTACGCCTGACAGCCGGGCGCCGGCCAAGCTTGTGGTGGCTGTGGTTGTGGTGGTGGTGGTTGTTGTGGTTGTCGTCGTCGTTGTCGTCGGGCCCAGGCTGAGCCATCTTGCGCCCAGCGTAGGCTTATGTCATGCGATGTCAAGCCATCATGAGCCCATAGTGGGCTTATGTTGTGCCAAGTCGGGCCATGTTGAGCCATCTTGGGCCCATGTTGGGCCCATGTTGGGCTATGTTGGGCCCATCTTGGGCCCGTCTTGGGTCTTTGTTGGGCCCATGTTGGCCCTATGTTGGGCCATCGTGGGCCTATGTTGGCCGAGGTTGGCCGAGGTTGCGCCGATGTTGGCCTCTGTTGGGCCTAGGTTTGCCTATGTGGCCCTATGTTGGGCCAGCTGGGAGGCTATGTTGGGCATAGGTTGGGGATATGTTGGCGATCTTGGGCCTAGGTTGGTGAGATGTTGGGCCGTTTATGTTGAAAACATCTGCAGACACAACTTTTTCCGATTTTTTCCGCCCCTCAAAGCAAAAACTGTGGAAAAAAAACAACATTTTTTAACATCGCCAAGGTGCAATTCTGCGCCGCCGAGGGGCCCGAAACCCTGTAGAAAACGATGTTTTTGAACACCAGGCGCAAAATACACTGTAAATTACAGGGGCATCAGTTGGTACGTTGTCCGCCCGTTTTTTAGACGGGGGGCGGGGGTCGGGGTCCCGGGGGTCGTCGGCAGGGGGGGCGGTCCCATAACTTTCGGTTAGCACCAAAGGCCTCCGGCAAGGACACGGGCAGCGCCCGGTGGGCCGGCGCCCGGATTCCCAAAAGAAGACGGCTGAATGGCCACGACACTGTTTGAACCCGATTGTGTGACTGTGCGACCGGACCCCACCTCGCACACAGCGTAGCTGAGTGCAAGCAGTGCAGCTCCGTCCGTCGGACCAAGCAGACCAACCCAGTGCGACATAGAGAAAAAGACCGAGTGCATGCGACCTGTTGTGTGTGTTGGTTGTTCCGGCCTGTTTTACACAACAGATGGAAAGTATATAGATTTACATTGCAGCCACAGGCATGGGCAACGCATGTAGTTCATGCCTGTTCGAACGCAGCCGCAGCCATCCTGCTTGACATTGCTGCCAGAAGCTCTGCTGGGGATACCACCTTTGGGTCGCTCAACATTGGATTGGCTATGGGAGCTGTTGTCCAGTTCATGGGCTTGGGACCAAAGAGCACAAAATGCAGATCGCTGGATGAAGCGATGACCAATCAGGGGGTCACGAATATCATGATAGTTACTCATGGCTATGAAATGCTATTGATGGTGAATTAAAACTTGCTAATATCCCCGTCCCCCATTCTTATTGATGAATATTAAACACCTCCCAGAAACCATGCTTTAGCAGGAGATAAAAGCACCTATTTGGTACCAGTGCTCTCCAGCAACCATTGCTGGGAAATCCTCCATTAATGGTAAGTTAAATTCTGCACAAGTCCTAGGTCCTAGTTATCTTGGTTATAAAGTGTCAGAAATGTATGAGCCAACTGAGCCGTCACAAATTCAATATCAAACCGCGGTTGGTGGTTTGGAACATGGCTTTTATTTTTCCATTCACTTGGGAATGTCATCATCCCAACTGACGAACTCACTCCATCATTTTTCAGAGGGGTAGGTCAATCACCAACCAGAACCCTCCATATTTTTCTTGCGGAAAAGCCATCTCATTTTTTTGCGGCAAAAATTACCATGAAACCATGGAAGATCCCGGGAGATCGTCAGGCTGGCACCTTTCGAAATATCTCCAGTGCACCGTTGACATTCTCCCAATGTGACCTGGGAGGATTTCATCGGGGACGAAATTGGGCCCGGCCAGAAAAATCTCCAGCTACATATAGGTTTCACAGGCATCATGGTGTATATAATATCAACAGTAATACACACCCACATATATATAATATACACGTATATATAATATAAGTTTATGTGGGTATATATATGTTATACACATGTGCATGTTTATACATATCTATAATGTGTTTAATTATGTTTATATATATATATATATATACATATTTTATATTGTATACTGTATATTAAAACCCGTATAAATATATGAATATACACCAACAGTTTCCCAAAGGGTTACTGAATGTAACATTGCATATATATATATATACAAAATACAGTGCAAAGGATGCACGTCGGATAGGGTACTTGTCTATTTGTGTCCTAGTCTTCGAACCTCTCCAAATCCAAGGTGAACAGTGTCCGTATGGTTTAGGGACTTTGCCTAACGAGACCGGTTCAACGAGCTGCCATTCCTGCCCGGAGGGTTGCTGGGCATTGAATCCTTCATACCATTTTTGAATCTTTCACCCAAAATGTTGATGAAATTTGTGCTTCACAATGTTTTTGTTGAATCGCTTTTCGATAAGCAAAAAGATATCTGCCTCGTGACGGTCGCCCATTTGGCGACGTTTAGCACGGCCACAGACGTCGTCTATACCCCACCCCAACAATGCCAAAGGGCTTCGCTGATTTGGGGATTACCCACATGGAAACTTAATGAACTGACCTCATGAAATAAATCCATGCAGATAAGAGTTGTTAGCCCATCTGTTTGAGTTTCCATTGTTTGGGTGTTTCTCTCTGGTTTCATGAAGCATTGCAATAGAATATATCCAACTATCTCCGACTTATATACCATTGTCCCAATAAGTATTTGTATACATATATATATATATATATACAATGTGAGACCCCCAAGTTATAAGTTGATTTATAAGCCCCAGTAATTATAGTCATAAGTACCATCAACCACAGTTATTGGAGTTATAAACAAACTTAGCTATCTTGGGGGCCCCACATTTTATGTATATATATCTATCTATCTCTATATATATATATACGGATGCCCACTGCTTGGGGATTTCCCAGACCTGGAAGGGGCCCCCGTTTGGGAGGCTTTGGAATTCTAGTCGACTCTATGGCGGTTTTTTCCAAGTCCTTGGAAGTCAAATGATTCTAACATGACCAGTTGACTCTGATTTTTTTTGATATGCGCTGTAAAATTCAATGATTTGAATGCCTCCCCGCCGCATGTGCCATGATCAAGACAATCAAAACATTGTTAATTTTCCAATAAAAGGGGATGGTCATCGATCCACCAATAGGCTTTTATATACCCATTCCAAGGATTCCCATTATGGGATGGATGACCATAAACCAGACACCATGTTTTCACCATTGCACATACCGGCGAACGAATAGATCCCAATTACCAAACTTAGGTTTCGTTTTGGATGGTATTTAATATTTGGGAGAAGGGATTGCTTGATTATACAATGTGAGGCCCCCAAGATAGCTAATGTGGTTTATAACATTTTATAACTCCAATAACAATGGTTTATGGTACTTATAACTATAATTACTGGGGCTTATAAATCAACTTATAACTGGGGGGCCTCACATTATATGGAGTTATACTCTTTGGTTCATTGGGGACACTATGACCCAACATGGAAATCCCTACCGACCAACCAGTACTGACGGGATGACCTTGCGGTTCAGCCGATCTCCAAGTTTGACCAACAGGTAGCCTAGACGTGGTTTTTCGCGACCTTTTTAACTGGGATGCCATTGAGCAAAAAAGACCCAACAACAACTTTCTGTTGATTCGTTTCATGAGTCCCCAAGCTACCTATCGTTGGATCGCATTACAAAGATTTATAAAACGACAAACGGAGCCATAGCTGGGCGCCTTCTCTCAAAGCACCAGCCTGGTTGGGTCCGATGAGCCGTAGCCTTTCGGACGGTCGGATTGATTCAAGAAACCACCGTGAGGCTTTGTCTGAAAATAGGGGATATCCCCAGCCACTTCCTTTTGGGGAAAATGAGGATTTGGGAGTAATTACTATATTTTCAGCTCCTAACCCATATGTTTCTGAATGCATTCTCTTGTGTTGTGACAGGGGGAGGTATCCAGGATTTGTGCCACCGGGTATGACTGATAATCAATGCCGAAGCACCTGTTTGGGATGGCTAAAATGCAAAAAATCAATGCCAAAGCACCTGTGCGGATCCGTTGCTTTTCCATGTGCCCAGGAAGATTTCAGAATGGAAATTCCGACGAAGGCATTTGCACCGCGTGTCCTTTGGGCCAATTTCGTAGCGCCTCATCTGCCGCTTGCGAAGCCTGCGCTGTGGATCATTTTGCAGATGAGCCGGGCTTGTCGGCGTGTAAGCCATGTCCAGAACAAAGTGAACAAGCTCAAATGGGTCAGTCTGCATGTGCTTGCCAGGCCCAAGCGGCAGGGAGACTCCGAAAACATGAAACTGTTGCTCTCAAAACACATTTTTTGTGGGGTTTTTACATGTATTTACCACAGTTTTAGAACATTTGAATTTTGCACCTTCTTGGTTGCAGTAAATCTTTGTGGGTAAAAACCTGTTTAAGAAAAACAAATTACTTTACTTCGCGTGATCCCCACCATGACATCTATAAATTTTCTTACTGGCAAATCTTCTGGCATTCTATCTGACATATCTTCTGACATTCTATTTGGCATTCTATCTGGCATATCTTCTGGCATATGTTCTGGCATATCTTATGGCATTCTATCTGGCATATCTTCTGGCTATCTGACATATCTGGCATTCTACATATCTTCTGGCATCTCATATCTGGCATTCTATCTGGCATATCTTCTGAATATCTTCTGGCATATCTTCTGGCATATTTTCTGGCATTCTATCTGGCATATCTTCTGGCATATCTTCTGGCATTCTATCATCTTCTATTCTATCTGGCATATCTTCTGGCATTCTTCTGGTATATCTTCTGGCATTCTATCTGGCATATCTTCTGGCATATTATCTGGCAAATCTTCTGGGATTCTATCTGGCATATTTTGTGGCATTCTATCTCTATCTGGCATTCTATCTGGCATATCTTCTGGCATTCTATCTGGCACATCTTCTGGCATTCTATCTGGTATATCTTCTGGCATTCTATCTGGCATATCTTCTGGCATTCTATCTGGCATATCTCATGGCATTTTATCTGGCATATCTTCTGACATTCTATCTGGCATATCTTCTGACATTCTTTCTGGCATTCTTCTGGCATATATTCTGTCTGGCATATCTTCTGACATTCTTTCTGACATTCTTTCTGGCATTCTATCTGGCATATCTTCTGACATTCTATTCTATCTGACATTTTTTCTGACATTCTTCCTGTTGAGGTCCGGCAGTGCCCACTGCGATCTGGAAGTCGCGGTTGAGGTCCGGCAGTGCCCACTGCGATCTGGAAGTCGCGGTTGAGGTCCGGCAGTGCCCACTGCGACCTGGAAGTCGCGGTTGAGGTCCGGCAGTGCCCACTGCGATCTGCAACTCGCGGTTGAGGTCTGGCAGTGCCCACTGGGATCTGGAGCTCGCGGTGGAGGTCCGGCTGTGCCCACTGGGATCTGGACTGCGAGGAGGAGGCGGCGGGTGAGGAGGCGGAGGAGGCGGAGGAGGAGAAGAGCTTTGTTAAAATCTAGCAACCCTCACCTGGCAGGTGGGGAACTATTAGTGTATATATGCGAAGATACTCTACACAGTTTTGGCTCAGACCTGGAACTGAAACCGGGGGCATACCACAGTTTGATGGCTTTTTGATGTGTCTTGAATCGGAATATTTGCTGGCACTTTGCCTCTGGATGACTATGTAAATACTTTATATATATATACATATATATATATATTTACATATATATATATAATGTATATATATATATATAATACGCATATCCATATGTAATACATTCATCCACATGTTTTCGCAACCTATCCAATACTATAGCCATGACTAGCACCCCAGCTTGACTGCTTTTGCCAGCCTGGCCTGTCATGGAGCCCATAATCCCAACGGCATAGGTAGTTCAACATAGCTAACCCCCAAAAAGATAGAAAAATGATATATATATATATATCATATCATTTCCCTATTTTGATAGTTTTTTTTTTCTGTACTGTTCTATCCTTTTTGGGGATGTCTTAATTTCGAACACATCACCATGTTTCGGTACATCGAACTGTTGCCATTTTTTTGCCATGGCTTCCATGGCCTTGGGTTTTTTGGGCCCCACTTAGTAAATGGGTAAGAAAAACAAAACAGTTAGATTTATGGAATACCCTCTGGTAAACGTTTACATAGCTATTGAAAATACCCCATTTATAGTGGATTTACCCATTGAAAATGGTGATGTTCCATAGTTATGTTAGTTTACCAGCGGGTATGTTTAGTAGATTTGTGGAATATCCCAAGTGGATGATATGGATTAGAAACACCACGTCTCCTTCCTGTCGCTAGCAACCGCGCCAGGTGGGAAGCTTTAAGGATCCAGCAGATCCTTCGGAGATGGGTGTCTGGACGAAGCATGGACGTTTCACCGGTGGTTTACTCAACAGACCTGGGGATACCTATCTGGTTGGTGGTTTCAAACATGTTTTTTTTTCCGTAATATATATAGGATAGTCCTTCCCATTGACTAATATTTTTCTAGATGCTTAAAACCACCAACAAGCATAGGTCAACCAACTGGATGGCTAGTTTTATCCTTTCTGTTGTACGTTCTTGTGCGATTTCAATAGGTTCATATCTACTTTCAACAGCTAACATTTTTTAGGGCAGGGGATCTAAGATTGGCAATGTTCACATTTGGTGTGGTTTTCGATGCTAAATGTGATGGGACTTAATGGGAGAATATTGATAATTTTTAATGGGAATATAATAGGATCATCAATGGGATGACAGTGGTTAAACATAGTGAATCATTGAATCGAGTACTCGTAGTGGTTTCATGGAATCTAACAATGGGGGTTAGTAAATGTCCATTTTGAAAAACAGCCCCCAACTACTGAAGATCTAATCTCCAACAGAGACTTAAAAGTAATGTTCAAAATCTCCCGAGAGGTACAATTAAATGGTGCTCTAGGCGGGCCCAAGAGTTGCTGAGTTGCTCCAAATCTGCCTGTGAAAATCATCATGTTCCATGTTCTAGTATAAACATTGCAAAGATTCTCATAAATTTGTGTTTTTTGTTTTTTTTTAATATCCTTAGAACACAGGGATTTCTGGGATTTCAGCTGTGACAGTGCCATGCCTGAGCTGCGAAAGCGTGCTGCCGGGTAGCAGCACGCTGCATCCCAACAGCGAGAGCAGCAACGACTGCCTGTGTCCTTCAGGGACGTACTGGCACCGACCCTTCCAAGGCCGGTGGAAATGGGGGGGAGTAAGCGTTGGTTTCGTTCGAAAAAATGGGAGGAAAATGCTGGACAATCCATCTATAATTAGACTCTATATTAGAATCATTTAGAATCTATAGTGACTATAGTTTCCTCCCAAAAAAGTGCGATGTGGTTTATTCTACGGAAGTTGGGAAGGTGGTTTCTTATCGAGAGATTTGAGGATAATGAAGCATCAAACATTGGACATTTGGGAGACTATGTTCGATCTATTATCTTTTGTGCGATGGGTGCTGAAACCGACTTATAACTGGTGGGGCACTCATGGGGGGAATGTGGGAAACATATTTGTTCGGTGAGCTGGGCAAAGATTATACCAACTGCACTTAAGAGACCTTAGATGCAAGATATGTGCCTGAGTTACCTTCATATCCATGCAATGATTTTCAGCTCGAGAAAACCCCGGACTTCAACATGGTGTTTACCCCACGGGTTTCGTTGGTTGTATCCGTTGTATCACCACAAGCATAGTTACATAATGTTACATACCCACAACTGGTTGGTGGTTTGGAACATGTTTTTTTCTTCCATTCAGATGGGAATGTCATCATCCCAACTGACGAACTCAGTCCATCATTTTTCAGAGGGGTAGGTAGCCCCCATGGTAAACCAACAACCAGACAATATCTCACAATATCCCACCATCATGAGCCAGCAGATATCAATAGCTACGAAGCGTTTCGGATTCCGATGATTCCGATCACATTTCTATCCCATATGCTCCATGGTGCTGGAATATTTACAAAAAAATACCCTAAAAATCACCCAGTTTTGTAGGTAAATATACTAGCACCATGGAGCATATGGGTATCTCAAGGATTCTTAAGGTCCATCATTCAGATTGTGAAATTTCTGATAGATATGCCGCTCATATGCCTCTTTAAAAAAAGACAAATATGCCCAGTATCTGATATGTTGGGATCAGCATTGTCTATAGAGAACATGGTGGTTTATATGTTTTTCCAACAAAAGGGAGAATTGAATCAGTGAGCACTGGAATTGTGAGCAATCCAGTCTCCAAGTTTGGGGCATGTTTGCCGCCACCCCCACGCAGAACCCCCAAGATCCAAAACCAGTGACATGCGTTGTCCGGTTCCAACAAAAATCGTGTGTTTACTACCGAATCATCTTCAACAACCACCAAAAGGTGTCATATCGGGGTAGCAATGATACTGTGGATATCTGTGGATGGAAGAAATCCTGCACCACCTTGGATGGTTGAAACCCTCTATCAGTTGGTGCAGGATTTCTTCCATCCACCGTATTTCCTTGGTATCTCTCAGTATCTCCGGCACTTTTTTGCCACGCGCCGCGCCAGGGAGTTCCGTGGCTTTCTGTAAACCTTGCAGCAAGGGCTTGATCTGTTTAGGTGGCACCCAGGCCGGGGATGGTCACATGGGGATGGTATGGGGATACCAATGGATACCGGTATGTTTATTGGGATGATAGCAGAAATTCTGGAGAAGTTTGGGGATTTTTGTTGGATGTTCCCCAAAAGCTCTGAAATATCATTGATTTTTGTTGGTAGAAATGGTAGAAAACAATACATCTACAATGTGAGGCCCCCAGTTGTAAGTTGATTTATAAGCCCCAGTAACTATAGTTATAAGTACCATAAACCATAGTTATTGGAGTTATGTTCACCAACTGAACGCTATCTTGGGGGCCTCACATTGTATGATCTCTGAAATCTCCAATATCGATCTGATACATCTAATGGATACACTAGTATTGCAAGGTATCTTTTAGATCTTGGGGATATGCATTTGCAAGGTATCAGTGTACGGGTACCAGGGGTCCACAGATTTGATCAACGATCACTGCGACCTTTGCCGATTGAATAGCCACCAAACAGTTTGGGATATGATATGGCTACAGTCAATGGGAATTCCAGGATCCTAAAATGGAGGTACGTTAGTAGCATATTTCTGGCCATATTTTGGGGGTATATCCCCTTACATAGGCCTTACATAGGCCTTATATATGCTAGGTACCTCCAATCTAGGGTCCTGAAATGGCCATTGATACAGCAAAGGGTGATCTGGATGGCAGTTTTCCTTTGTACTTGGTACTGAGAAATAGATTCGATGGTGATCGCTGATGTGTCGCACGAAAGCTGTCCACAGGAGCTGGCCCAAGAAATGGATTGATCTCCTGGAATTCCAATGTGTTTGATTTATAGTACTAAGATATACTAAGATGTACTAAGTACTCCTTATTGTCCAATGGTCTATGAGCATTATCCATGCAAGATCCATTACCTTTTCATTATAGATTATGATCCCTATTGGATATGTTTTTTTTTCGGACTAACCTGCTTCTTTCACAGTTTTCTGAGTTCTGACTCGCACGCGAAAAAAAATCCTGGAGGCCCCATTGCAAGCGCTGGGCTATTCAGCAGGTGCTCCAAGTTTTGAGGGAGGTGATCCAACTTATATCGTGGAGTGTAGTAGCAGCTCGGTTGCGAAGATGTCGAGAAATCGACGGGCTGGGTACCGGACTGATTGGGTACCTGAATAAGACAGGGATATTCACACCATAGAAACGGCCGTTCCATGCGAACAAAGATAATTAATAAACCATCGGATTTTTCCCCACCTGCCAGGTGAGGGTTGTTAGATTTTATGTCAGTTGCCTCCTCCTGCCTCCTCCTGACTCCTGCCTCGTCCTCCTCCTCCTCTCCTCCTCGTCCTCCTCGTCCTCCTTGTCATCCTTGTCGTCCTTGTCTCCTCGTCGTCCTCGTCGTCCTCGTCGTCCTCGTCGTCCTCGTCCAACTGCGACCCGCGATCCACAGTGTTCTCTGCCGGACCTCAACCACGACCATCCACGCCCAGTGTTCCCTGCCGGACCTCAACCACGACCATCCACGCCCAGTGTTCCCTGCCGGACCTCAACCGCGAGTATCCACACCAAGTGTTCCCTGCCGGACCTCATGTAGGAAGATATGGGACAAAGAATGTGCAGAAGAAAATTAGAAAGAATGTCAGAAAGAATGTCAGAAGATATGCCAGAAGATATGCCAGATAGAATGCCAAATAGAATGCCAGATAGAATGCCAGATAGAATGCCAGATAGAATGCCAGATAGAATGCCAGAAGATATGTCAGAATATATGCCAGAAGATATGCCAGATAGAATGCCAGATAATATGCCAGAAGATATGCCAGATAGAATGCCAGTCAGAAGATATGTCAGATAGAATGCGAGAAGATTTGCCAGTAAGAAAATGTATAAATGTCATGGTGGGGATCACACGAAGTAAAGTAATTATGTTTTTTCGAGGGAGAAATTTATTTTCAGATACCCATCTGAAACGCAGAGGTTGTGCATGGGGATCAGAGCTATTTCTTCATCTTTCAAGGTGCACTTTGAAGGTCAAAGGGATGCATGGATGTTTGCAAAGACGTACATCACTATATGATGTTTGGCTCAAGGGCCTCGAGCTAGTATCTCTACAATGTGAGGCCCCCCAGTTATAAGTTGATTTATAAGCCCCAGTAACTAGTTCGTTATAAGTACCATAAACCATAGTGGAATTGGAGTTCTTGGCACCAACTGAACGCTATCGAACGGGGGCCTCACATTGTACAACCTTCCAAATCAGCGTTTCCAATTTTTTTTGGCCATGTGATTTCGGAATTGTGGCCCTGTTCTGTGGCCAGCTATGGCCACCATTGCAGAAAATCTCCACGTTGATTCACCTGGACCATCCTGGAGCTCTTAGAATTTCCTGAAAAAAAAAGGGTATTCAGAATAGTCTAAGGCATTCAACCTTTGAGAATAGTATATTCCCACTTCCAACGGATTCACATATATTAAAACCAGTCATGCAGCAACCTACACGACCATCAACCCTCGCTTCCCCGGTTCCAGTAGCTTCGCCATCCCCTCCTTCCTTTATCTCCAGGCAACGTGAGGTGTCCTGAAGGACTTCCTTTGGCAGGATGTCCTGCAGCAAACTACGGAGTTGCCTGTGTGAACCTTGGCGGCGAGAAGGCATTGAACTTGTCTTGTGGCATTAGGATCTGGAGAATTTGGAAGATAATCTGGATCATCTGAATGATAATCTGGATAATTTATGATAATTTCTAATAATCTAGATGGTATTTGGGGATTTGATGATATAAACTACAAATCTGGCTGGATTATAATACAATCCGCTGAAATCCCAATCCTTGCCATCATTCACCGAGTGACTTTGCAGTGAGTTCGTTACAACCTATCCAAATATATGTTCGTTTACTCCCCAATTATTCTTGCGCCCTGTGTAAAAGTGCGAGATGTTTCAAGCACTGTTGTCAAGCTGCAACTGTTGGCACCTTTTGCTGTTGCACGCACTCAATCTGTATGTTGTCAACAGGAGTTGACTCAAGGCCTTGAACCACAGGCCAGTGTTGATATGACATGTTGAATATGTACATTGACACGACCCCTCAGATGTTGGCTATGTTAGCCAGCAGATGTTGACTATATATTCTACATGGGTCTGTGTTCACTAAATGTTGCAACTAATGTTGAAACTATAAACATGTTGAAACTGAAACAGCATTTTGTTGACTACTCATGCATGAGTGTTGGTTCATCCTCTGTACAAATGCCGATGGCTTGGTTATCTTTATACACCTGTGGCAGCCGCAGGTGTTGGATGAAAAAAACACTTGCTTAATTATGCGCACTTCAAGCTCTCATGTGTTGAGCGTATAGCTCTGCTTCAGCACTTGACAGTGCTATTGTTGCCTGTGTTCGGCTGCCGTAGTTGATTGTAGCTCCAAGTAGTGTGATGAGAAAACCTGTTGTTGATCTCCTCGTTTCTGGGCAACCTGCCCAGTCGCTGTCCACATAGATGTTGAGGTCTGGAATCTGTGTTGGAGGTATCTTTGCTGTTGGTCTAATGACCTGCCTGTAGTGTTGTGTTCCTTTGAGATACCTAAGAAGGTGCTTCAGCTTTTGTTGGTCTGCCGTCGTTGGTGCTTGTAATGCTCTGGCCAGCTCCTTTGTTGCGTAGCTGATATCGGGACGAGTGTATGTCATCCATTGTAGTTTACCTACTGTTCTCCTGTAGGCTGCATGTTCGTCTGTTGAAAGAGGCTGTTCATGATCAGCTGTTGGTGCCTTCAAGGCTGATGTTCCTGGTGCCGGTGCTGGGTTGCAGTTCAGCATGTTGTTCTCCTCCAAGATGTTGGCCACGTAGTCCTGCGATAGTGAAATATCGTAGCTATCACCATTGTTGGTGATGCTGCGTCCAAGGAAGGAGACTGTCTTCCCTGGTTCAAGTGTACCTGTTGGTCGAAGAAGAAGGTGTTGCTGAATTGCTGTGAAGAGCTTGTCCACCACTTGTTGTTCTCCTAGGAAGAGAAGGTCATCGACGTAGACGAGGATATAGCAATCTCTTGTTGGTGTCATAAAGATGTTGGGCTCTGCTGTGCTGCGTTGAAGTCCAAGTTGTTGTAGGACTTCTGCAAGGTGGTTTTGCCAAGCTTTTGGACTGCTTCTCAGTCCATAGATTGCTTTGAGGAGTTTCCAGATGATGTTGTCCTCTGGTCTGTAAAACTCCTTTGGTGGATACATGTACAAGTCTGCTGTAGCTGCTGCGGCATGTAGGAAAGCTGTTGAGATGTCTCCTGTTCTGGCGATCCAACCTCTGTTGAGGCAGATAGTGAGAAGTGTTCTCAGGACGCAAAAGATAGGTGTTGAGGCATAGATGTCATCAAGGTCGTTGACTGCCTCTGTGTAGCCCTTTGCTACAATTCTTGCACGAACGTTGTTGCCTTTGTCTCTGAGAACCCATCTTGACTGTATGATGTTCTTCTTTTGTTCTGGGGTCAGAGTGTTGATGTCGACTTCCATGTATACCTGTTGTTTCTTCATGGAATCGATCTCATTCTTCATTCCTTCAATGGTCTTCTGTTTGTCGAATCCTTCTGTGTTGTTGACCATTGGTTCCAAAAGGATCTTCTCTGTTTGTTCTTCTGTGATGTCGTCACAAGTGTATGCTGTGATTTCGACCCCTTTCTTTGTTTGAATTGTCACCTTTGTGATTCTTAGTTTGCTTGTTGGTGGCTCTTGTGCTGTGTCAGGCCTTGCTGGACCTGTTGCTGCTTCTGCTGTTCGATGTTGCTTTGGCAGACTGCCTTCTGCCACTTCGTCTGAAACTGTTCGTTTTGGTGATGGAAGTGATGGTCTGGTGTGACAGCTTGTTGGTGCTGTTGCCATTGGTGAGTCTGCAATGGCACATCGTGTTGATGTACCTGCCGGTGCTGCTGGTTGCTGTGCTTGAAGTTGTGGCTGTTGTGTTGTGTCTGCTCCAAAAGCTTGTGTGCCTGTTTCTGCAGTTGCTGGTCTCCTCATTGGCTTGTAGACCAGTGGTGGTTTTGAAACGTATGGTACACCAGTGGTGTATGGGAGTGTTGGTGATCTGTTGATCACGTCCATCAGTTGCTTGTTGTACTTTTCTGGTGCTGGAAGCCTTCTGATTGTTCGTGCTCGAACAACCTTGTTGGAAATCCCAATGAGGTTCTCATTGGATGTTGTGTCTTTACCAAGCCATATGCCTGGCATGAAGCGCTGTTCCATCTTTGGAATGACTGCTGAGTTTGGCAACATATAAAGAACTGTTTCACCAAACTCACAGAGTGGTGTTTTGTGTTCTTTATGCCATCTCCTGAAGAAGCTTGTGTTGCCATCTGAATGTATGGCATACCTGTTGAGCAGGTAAGCTGTGTGTCTCACCATCCATGCTACGATGGGATGTTTGCTTGTAAGTCTGATGTCGTAGTTGTTCTGCAGTTGGGACTTCAGTGTTCTGACTTGTCCCATGAGTGTTCTGTGAAAGCGTTCGACGCTGCCTTGTGCTTGTGATGTGTATGTTGGTGCTTGTCGAACTGTGATGTTTCCTCCCATCTTAGCTGCTGTTGCTCTGAGAAGTGCTATGAGGTGATCCTCCTGATCTGACTGTAGGATTGTGCTGTTGAGTACAGCTTGTACTCTGCCACACTCCATGAGGAATGTTTGTATGCATTGGACGTGATATTGAAAGTCTGCTGTCTTGCTGTTGACAAGAACTGCCATGCTCATGCCTGTTTCCACGTCAATGCCTGTGAGGATTGGTGTTGTTTCCTTTTCCCCAAGTGTTTTGAAGAAACAAAAGTCGAATTGTACGACTGGTTGTTTGCTGTGTTGTCGTGGGTGGTTGTCTGCCCGTCCTTTGTTTTGAACACATGTTGGACACCAACTCCTGTAGGGAAGGTGTGTGAGTTCATGTTCAGCACGCTCTTGTGCTGTTGGCTGCTCTGGTGCTTTGATGCCTTTTGCTGTTCTGGCATCTAAATGTTCTTCCTCATCGATGTTGTAGTACTCCTCTTTGAACGCCGTGCTCTCCTCAAAGTTTGTTGAACCTGTCCATGTGAAGTTCATTGTTGCTGAGGTCTTTGTTGTCCAGTCATCATCAATCCTGTATCCTCTGGCTCCTGATGTTGGCTTAACTATTGTTTGTCTTTGTGGCAATAGCTTTGTGACATCTGGACCATCCATTGTTTGTTGTGGGATGTAAAGCTGAGTCCGTTGTTGTACATGGACTCTCTTCCAGTACTGTCCTTCTTTGATCCAGTAGTCTGCTGTTGCTGGTGTGTCCTTTGGTCCTGGAACTGCTGTTCCTGGATATGCTTGTTGCTTCATGGGCTGCTGTTGCTGTGGTACCAAAGGTTGTTCCACTGGCTTCTTCTCTCTGTGTCGAACTGCTGATCCTGTAGGCTGCTGAGCTTGTTGCTGCTGTTGCTGTGTCGTTGCCTTGGCTGCCGATGCCTTTGGTGTTGCTGATGCTGGCGCTGAAGCTGCTGTTGATGCCTTGGGCAACGGTGGTGCTGGAGGCTTTGTTGTCTCTTTGACTCTGAACCATGTTTCTCCTGACCATGCTGGTCCTGGAAGTCTTCTGTTCTGTCGTTGTTGTGGAAGGTCTTTGTATTTGTCCTCAAAGTCCTCAAGTGTTCCATCTGGCTTGTATGCTATTGTTCTTCTGTAGTTGTCCAGCTGTTCTTCTGGAACTGGACATTGTGCATCTGGTGTGAAGAGTGCCTTCCTTGTTCTCTTGTGTACCCTCACCAGATATCCTGTGCTGTTGTATATCCAAATGTCGTTGTTGTGTGTGACCCATTCAGGTCCTGTTGGTGTAATTGTCACTGGGGACACTGTTGCTCGAATGCCATGTGACGTCTCACATATGTCAAGCTTCATGTTGCTTGGCATTGGGCTGATGTTGACTGTAAGAAAATACAGTCCTTGTTGTTGCTTCAGTGTTGCTTCAAAGCCGTTGGTGTTGGTGATTGTTGGGTGATCGCTAAGCTGGATGTTGAAGCCCTGTGATGCCAGTCTTGTTACTGACAAAATGGGTTGTGACACGTCACACACATAAAAGGGTATGACGATCGGTTGTTGCTTGTTGTTCTTCATGTACACCCATTTGTAGCCATAGACTGTGATGTCTTCCTCTGTTGCTGTTGTGAGTCTTGGGCCTTGTTCTGGGTGAAGTTCATATGTTTTGTATGTTGGGGCAAACCATGGTGGGCAAACATGTGTTGCTGCTCCACTGTCAATCATCAAATCTTCTGTGGTGTTTGCCGGTTGCTCAGTTGCTGGCCGCTGCTTGTTGGACTGCTGTATTGAAATGGCTGCTATGTGGAGTTGTGGAACTTGCTGTTCCTGCGCGCTTGTTGGTGGGAGTGCCAGTTGTTGCTGTGGCAGTGCGCTGACCTGTGTTTGGTCATCATTCCACCATTGGCCGTCATAGTACTGTTGTTGTTGATACCATTGGGTTGTTGCATCATCTTGCCAATGGCCAGTGTATGTGTTGGTTGTAACCTCGTTGAGGTTGTGTACTGCCACACGGCAGTCTCTTGCTATGTGACCTGGTTGGCCACATCTGTAGCATCCTTGTGTTGGGACCCCTTTTCCTTTTCCTGTTGGCTTGCCTTTGCCTTTGCCTATGTACCCTCCTTTGTTGTTGGATCCTTTGGGCTGCATTCCTTGCCCAATCTTTCCTTTGCCTTTGTTGTATCCGTAGCCATATCCTTTGCCTTTGTTGCTCTTGTTCCTTCCTTTTCCTTTGTTGGGCTTCTTTCCTTTTCCTTTGTTGTACTTTCCTTTGTATCCTTTGTTGACAGCTCCAATGTCCATAGGTGCCGGTCCTCCTTGGGCGTGTGTTGAGACGCTGGATGTCCCAGGTTGCTGGTGTAGCCTGCTAAGGGCTGTGGTGGCTCTGTAATATTCCATGATTGTTTCACGTACCTCTACGTATGTTGGTGTTGCTCCTGCATTCAAGTGCAGGTGTTGTTGCAGTGGGCCTGATGTCTCGTTCATCAGGACTGCAATTTTGATTTGGTCTGGTAGTGCTGTGTTGTTGTCTCTCTCATACCTTGAGAGCTCGAATTCCCAGTTGGAGAATGACTCCTCGAAGTTGTTGCTGTCAAATGTTGGCTTGAGCAGCTTTGTTAGGTACCCTATGCTTCTTGTTCCTAATGGTATGGCAAACCTGTTGCTGAGCTGCCTGTAGGTCTCAAGTCCCATCTCATGTTGATACTGTCTGCACACTGTTGCTGCAGCTCCTGTTGTTACGTTCACAAGTATGTACTTCAAGTTGTTGTCTAGTTGTACCCATCTGTCGGCTTCCTCCATGTTCTGTGCTGCTCCTCTCAAGTCTGCTTCTGTAAGTCGTTGTGTGGATGTTGCTGCACGTCGTAGGATGTTGGGGTAGAATGGGTCCATGAGGCCCATGTATGCTGTGAATTTGTATTTCCACTCCTCAAATGTAGAATAGTTGCCATCATATGTTGGGGGCTTGAGTTTGAGTCGGTGTGTTGCTGCCAACGCTTCTGTCTGATCCTCTAGTGGTGCTGTTGGTGATGCCGCCATTGTTGCTTTGTAAAGTTTTGTTGAAGCTCCTCCAATGTCTTGGGATCAAGGCTTCTCCCTGTTGTCAGAGTGTTGTTGTTCAGCTGCTGCTTCCTCTGTTGTCTGGTGTGTTGTTTGTTGGGTGTTGTGCACAGTAATTGTTGAGAGTCCCCCAGTGTTCTGGGATCAAGCCCTCTGCCTGTTGTTTACTGCTGTTGCTTGGAGATGCCCCTGGTAAGGCAGAGCTCCGCTACCATGTAAAAGTGCGAGATGTTTCAAGCACTGTTGTCAAGCTGCAACTGTTGGCACCTTTTGCTGTTGCACGCACTCAATCTGTATGTTGTCAACAGGAGTTGACTCAAGGCCTTGAACCACAGGCCAGTGTTGATATGACATGTTGAATATGTACATTGACACTGTCAACCAACATCAACCAACATTTGGACTTTGGTTTGCGAATCATCGGGAATCTTATCTGGTTGGTGGTTTGGAACAATTTCTATTTTTCCATATATATCGGGAATAATAATCCCAACTGACTTTCATATTTTTTCTGAGGGGTAGGTCAACCACCAACCAGTTATATATATATTATATTATAATTATATCATATTATATATATATCATATATATATTATTATATGATATATAATATATAATATATATACATACATCATTTACAGGGGATTTCCACAAATTTCCCAGGCGCTCATGACACCAGAGGGTCTACCCATGGAGTTCTCCGTTCGATCAACGGCCAGGAATTGCGCAGCGAATCACTTCGATGACAACGGCCTCTGCATGTCTTGCTCTGACTCTCGAATGCGGGATGTGCGTGGCATGGGAAGACTGGGTACAGTCCTGCTTGTAGCCCTATAAACTAGTTATGACTGGCAGGTATTTCACGTGAAATGGCTATAATTGTTGATCAGATGAGAGTTATACATGGTATAGATGGCCACTAATAGTTATAACATCATGTAAGTGGTATATGTGTTCATATATATATATATAATATAATTAATCAACTAGTTGCAGCAGGTATTTCATCCCATTTAAAATTGTTTGTGGCCATAACTGTATATAATTATATATATATAGCAACTACATGGCAAAGCAACCCCTCAAAGGATATAATGGGTACATAGCCAATGATGATCTGGTTGCAGGTTTCATGTTTTTTCTGTGTTCAAGCATAGACATGGGATGATGCTCCCCAATTCACAAGCATGGTTTTCATGGGGGTTGAAGGGTTGAAACCACCAACATCTTTGGCTTCGGGACATGCATCGCTATGTGTAAAGGGTGAGAGAATGGTGCTGAATTAATGTTGCTTCACTTCATGCCATGTCTCCATTTTAAATTGAATTTGGAATGCCAAGCTGTTGTTGGTCCCAACCATGTGTTTGATTCTATTTCTGATGAATACATCCCCACTCTTTTGATCTCTTTTGCACTGTTTGCATCTTTGTCTGTGCTGATTTTGCCATCCTCATTTAAGTGTTGATTGACTCCCAGGTAAATAGGAGGTTAGGATGGTCCCGTTTTTATTTCTTCACATCCCTCCCTTTCTGTCCATTTGTTGGCAAACTCAACATTTTAGCAACTCGATCTTTTAAGCGTTGTTGCTACAGTTGTTTTTTTCCCGTGTTTCATCCTGAGAATGGCCCAGCCCAGTGTTCCGAAAGTAGTCTTGCCCGATTTGGCCAGGGTCTATGCTAGTTGGATTTCACATTCTGCTGTATCAGGATGTATCCCAGGCATCGTTTTTTAGTGGCTTAAATCAATCACAATCAGACATATCAGACATGGGGCCCCAGTATTTCCCAGTGACATATATGTATATGATTGTATATGTCTTTATATAATGGTATTTGTTTCCCCTTCGGCTCATTGTTGTGTCTTACGCAGCGGCTCAGCTTGGGAATTCTGTGCAACAGCCGTCACCAGCCGTAATATTATTATTAAATTTATTTATGTATATATATATATATTATCCTTATATCACATAGTTTTACTATATAGATCCATAGGATATTCCTAATATCACCAGTAAAAATCACCTTTATATACCTAATATATGTATTTATATATCTAGATATTCATGATATACCCATCTGCTCCATGGTGCTGGAATATGTATCAACATTTACCCCAGAAATCATCCAGATTTGTAGGTTTTTATATACCAGCACCATGGAGCATCTGGGTCTGGAAAATCAAACAGGGCGTGCTGGAAAATCGACCCATTAGTTCGCTCCATTGATGGTGGATTTTCCTGCTTGTCCTGCTTATCTAGATATATGTAGATATTCTTATTATGTATATCCTTATATCATATCATAAAAATCATAGATATCTAGATAATTCTCAGTTTTGTAGGTAAATATATCCAGTTTTGTAGGTAAATATATCCAGTTTTGTAGGTTTTGATATACAATGGAGCATCCGGGTTTTCCTGCTTGTCCTGCTTATCTAGATAGATGTAGATATTCTTATTATGTATATATTTATATCATATCATATCATAAAAATCATAGATATCTAGATAATTCTCAGTTTTGAAGGTAAATATATCCAGTTTTGTAGGTATTGGTATACCATGGAGCATCTGGGTTTTCCTGCTTGTCCTGCTTATCTAGATAGATGTAGATATTCTTATTATGTATATATTTATATCATATCATACAATTCATAGATATCTAGATAATTCTCAGTTTTGTAGGTAAATATATCCAGTTTTGTAGGTTTTGATATATCGTCGTAGTAGTAGTAGTAGAAGTAGTAGTAGTAGTAGTAAGTAGTAGATATATCCTTTTATTTTCCATGGAGCATCTGAGATATTTATCCACTTTTTTGAGGTCCCTGGTGAACTCAGCCAGGCAACAACTGGCCTTGGCGGTTCAGTGAGGCTGCAAGGACTACGACAATTCTAGACATATCCTTGATTATTCTAGATATACCCATCTAGACAATATCACATATCACATATCTGATTCTTGATAATTCTAGATACCTATGAGATATATCCAGGTATATATATATATATCTTTATATCATATAGTTCATGATAACCATTAATTTACTTATATCACTGGCCATCTCAGGAACCTAAATTGGAGGTACCTACCATATATAAGGCCTATTTTTTAGGCCTTAATTTCAGGGAATATCCCCACAAAATATGGCCAGAAATATGGTACTAACGTACCTCCATTTTAGGATCCGGAAATTCCCATTGAAATCATATATCACATTTCTTATCCTAGATAGCGTTCAGTTGGTGAACATAACTCCAATAACTATAGTTACTGGGGCTTATAAATCAACTTATAACTGGGAGGCCTCACCGGTGCCGAGGATTCGAACTTCGTGGTGTGGCCCCTGATCGTTGCCATCGTCTTCGGCCTCGTGGGCCTGGTCCCTTGGCGCCTTTAACCCCCCGTGGGGCCCCCGAAGAACGATAGGAAAAGCCTAGGAAAACCATAGGAACATGATGAAAACCCTAGGAAATCCATAGGAAAATTGTGATTCAATCAGCAAAAATAGGGATTTCATGGGATTTATGATGATGTATGTTAAGTTGGTTTAGTTCACTGAATTCCCAAATGCTCCATGGTGATGGTATATTTACCTACATGACTGGGTGAATGTTGGAAAATATGCCATACATGGAGCATTTGGGTTGGTGAATTCCATGGTTTATGGAGGATATAATTGTAGTTATGGGGTTAATCTAAACCAGCTTATAACTGGGGAGGCCCACACTGTATATACCTTGTATATCCTTGTATACACTGACATCCCTCCCAAATGGCCAATTTAAGAGGAATGATGATTGATGATTTATGGTCGCCAATATACTGATTGATTTACTGGAGAATAAGATGTGGATGGGGTTGCCGGATTGCCGTCGAAAGTTCTTGTGGTATTGGACGGCTCTACTCTACCCTAGAATCCTGAAAGAACAGTGAACGTTTTAGTTCGGGACCCACATACCAGAAAGTAACCATATGTAAGTACCATTTGGATACGTATATCTGGGTAATTTATAACGACCTCACTGCGACCTCACTATAATCATAGTTAGTAAGGGGAATCATCCCAAAATGGCCTTAATTCAGGATAGTGAAATATTATAATTTACCCAGATATATGATCATATACAACACCTGATGTATGTGGGGTTTCGAGAAGCCTGAGGGATGGAGGGTCGATGTTTTTTTGTTTGCTGCACTACATGAAAGTACTAGAATTAGAGCTGATTTTGGGTAATGATTTTAGTATGTGATGGACTTCATACCAAAGATTATCAAATATGGGATGTATCAATGGATAGGATCCCCACTTTCCAACGGCTGTCGAAACACATCAATACAAATTTCCGGGATCATCACAGTAGATTACTTGATAACAATGCGTATACTTGTGATGATATTATAGACGGACCTCACCGTGACGTCACTGGAATGATGGTTAGTAATGCCGGTCCATGGCTTTCAACGCCCTGAAAGAATTTACCCTTTTGGAGGAAATGGGGAAACCCCAGATGTTTTTTTTGGGGAAGCGCAAAATGCATCCGGAAGTCAGGCAGAAATTCGCACGTTACCGGATGTTTTTTTCACAGATAAGCAAATGCACCGAGGTATGAATAGGATAATAAAACCCAATGCGTTTCAAATTTGCGATTTACTAGCCTTTAAGGTCTAACATTTGTATATGGATGTTTTTTTCCCGGATTTAGTTAAATGCATTTACATATATCACAATGCTAAAAACCCACTGCGTGACGAACCTGCGTACTAGCACTCAGCGTTGCGCGTGCTGCGTGCTGGAGCTGCTAAGCACACGATAGAGCTGTACATATTTATAGATTCATAGACTTATTTATAGATGTATAGATATATAGGCAGATATAGAAATGTTGACGCAGATATCCCATGTGGTTGGTTAGGCATTGTTCCATGAAAATCTGAATATCTCCACTCAGGGTCCCATTTAATTTGACCAATGATGTTCATGTTCCCAGTCTGTCGCAATAAATCGGATATATATATATTTATATATATACCCGAAACTTTGATAGTAGATATGGCAATTTAAATGTGGAATAGATAGGTAGATAGATAGGTAGATAGGTAGGTAGGTAGGTAGATAGGTAGATAGGTAGATAGGTAGATAGATAGATATATAGATAGATAGGTAGGTAGATAGATAGATCGGATAGAAACATCAGATAGAAACATCAGATAGATACATCAGATAGATAGATCAGATCAGATAGATAGATATAGATAGACAGACATTTGCATGTATGGATCTAGCATGTAGATATATGTCTTCTCAAGTATTTGATCTGTATAGATACATGATGTGGTTTCTATAGATCTAATATCTAGACTAGTATATCACTATATTTGGCCACTATTTCTTATTTTAAAACCTTAAATTGTTGGCTAGTCATATACCAGTAAATCACCAATATCACAGGTTAACTAATCTCTAGGCTTAGCACTTAAAAATAGAACGACATGAAGTTAATAGTTCGATACATAGGCATACATGTGGGTATGATCAATGTACTATCACATGAATTATGTCAAGCCTATATTGATATCACTGTATCATCTAATCATCTGAGTATTTCTATTACTATATATATATATTTGTTTATACTCAACAAATATATATATATATATGCATATATATAAATATGGAGGCATGAGGCATTTTTTTGTCTTTTACAAGGTGTGGCCTTCTAGCGATAGGTTCGGTCACTGGGTAAATTATAGGTAAATTATAACGACCTCACTGCGACCTAACCCTGGGATCCATGGTTATTATAGGGAACTGATTCGATCCCCCAAATAACCTTATTTCAGGTTAGTGAAATATTGTAATTTAACCATATATATATATATACACGTATATTCTTCCCTTGTGCCAAGGATATGTATATATATATATATACGTTTAGATCCTCGTCAATCCTCTTTGATCTTCTATGGCCATTAATAATTAATACTTGCCATTATCCCCATTAACATCTCATCACTATTATCAATACATAGTTAAGCAAACATATGTACAGTATATCTAGTTCTATCCATTAATACATATGTCTATGACCAATCTCTCTATATATATATATACATATATATATATAGATAATCGACATATCTATCCAACATATAAGAGAGGTGAGCGTCAGCGGTGGGAAAACCGACAAAAACAAATATATCAACAAATCATATATGTTGTGGTCATTAACCACTATGAAAAACACTATTAACCAAATGTTAACCAACTATTAACCACCTATGAACCAACTATTATATAACCATTACTAACTACTACCTATAGTGGTGAATAGTGGTGAATACAGTGGATCATCATGGTTTTCATAGTGGCTGGTTCATAGTTGGTTAAGAGTTGTTTAATAGTGTTTAATAGTGGTTAATGACCACAAAATAATAGTTGGTTGATAGTGTTTAATAGTGTTTAATGACCACAAAACATATGATTTATTTGATGACCTTTATCAAATCGCCAGGTCATCGTCTACAAATTCGCCACGCGCGTGGATCGTTCTTCGCGCGACTCCGTGGCCACCATCATCATCGCTGCGGGGCTCATCCTGGCAATTTTTCAGGATCTGCCCTCCTTTGGCAAGGCCACAGGGGTGCTGGCACCGGGGCACCGTTCAACAAAAATTTGGGCCGTTCACTTCAAAAACATGGGATGCCGTTCAGATGTTTGTTGGTGCAAACATCTTGATTTCCCATGGTTGTTGTGTTTTTTTCTTTAAATACTGGATTTCCTTTAGCAGAAAATTGGTGTGTTGATTTCCAGCTGTGAATTTACTTTAACAGAAAAAAAACATGAGGATTTCAGCAACAAAAACCGTGCGTTGAAGGGGGTATCCATGGTATCCATGTGCCGAAATTTGAAACCAACTTAAAATGTCACGTAAGTGTGTGTAATTTCTGGAAACACGTTGGGTTTTATTTATAGATGTCCATATCTATAGAAAAACTATTATACACTAATTTCAAAACAACAATAGATAGTTACACAATGATCTGTGATATCCACTAATAATTTGCCTAAAACACAAAATGAATCACCTGGCCTGTGATTTCGCCACCAGTAAGTAGTTCAGGAACCCTGACCAAGTTACTCGGCTCAGGTGAAAGTGAAATGGGTCGAGCCATTGAAAACTCTTCGAGGTGTTCTCTCCTTTTTGTCTTTCGACATTGGCGTCCTGCGACCCAACTGCGACCCGGTGCAAGGTACGCAAGGTACTTGGATGTGCGGGCCCCACTTAGGATCTGTGGTTTTTAATCCATACATATATATAAATATATATGTATATATACTATATATAAAATATGTTAAAATTTAAAATTATCAAAATACAACCCGTATTTCATCCCGTATAAAAGTGGGAATATTCCATATATACAAGTGGCGATATAACCCATTTACTGGGGGCCCTTTACCCCCAAGTAGTGCAAGGTGCTGGGGATGCTGTGGGGTCAATCGTGACACGATGCGGTAGCAGCCGGTACTGATAATTGATAGCCGGGCACCAGCTTGTGCCATCCTAGTTGTCGACCTAAACGAGCAGTTACACTCTGGTAAACTAACATAGCTATGGAAAATCACATTTTTTTATGGGTAAATCCTCTATAAATGGCCATTTTCAATAGCTATGTTAGTTTACCAGAGGGTACATCATGTTTGAGGAATTAACAGTTGATTCACATTTTTTTGGGTCTGATTCAATGCACATTCGTGCAGATCCGCAACTACCTGAGGTTGGCTTGGACCCAGGAACCCGACCATGAGCTGCTGGATTTGATGCTCACTTTTTCTTTTCCGTGATTTTTTCCCTTAAAACTCACCAAGAAACAGCAACTTTAGGTGTATAGCATATCTATATCTTTATTTTATATATAGAGAGAGAGGTGAATTTAGGGTCTAGGCATTGTCCTGTCGAGGGGGGGGAGATGAACCGAGAAAAATTGGAGTTTGACAAAAAGATGGGGGAGAGAACACCAACCAAGATAGTTAATCTAACCGGCAAACTCGTGGCATATTGGGTAAAAAAATTATTGCCAGTTTCGGCAGAGTATAGAATCTCATCCAACTGGGAAGGTGATCCCTGACTTCAAAAATAGATTCCCAATGATCCGTTGCAAGTATATCTAATGTACCTGATTTCATGTTGGCTTAACCCGGTTTCACCCCTGATTTGCATGGCAATTCATGGGAAGCTGGTGATAAACCATGGGATTTGAGGCCATCTGGCTTCATCCATGCCCATGGGGCCCAGGCTATTTCTATACCATCCTTTCCTACCCTTGCGGTGCCTGCACTGTGTGTGCTTTCCTGGCCTTTGGCAAGTATGTTCTCCGCAAGGATGTCACCTTGATGCTCGCCCATGGATGAAGCCATTGGGGCAGGGCACTAAAAACATCATCCATACCATGTTGTACCATGGTTAGTAAGTGTATCCAGAAGTAAATATCCATGATAGTAATATAATCATTTGTATGTGTAAGTTGACAGTCTAGCATCCTTACTACAACTGGGATGGTGAAGTATAGTGTTGGAATTACTTTAGAAGGCTATGGTGGGGGTACGTAAGGGGAGAGAAGCTCAGGCTGAAACATGCAATTCACCCCACTTTGTAAGGGACATCGGCTGAGTCAGCACTGCAAAGAAACCCTGGGATCAGGGATAGGGTGCTGCTTGTGATCATGGGAAATGGTGGGACAAGCACCTTTGTCATTAGAATTGAAGCCTAGCGGCTTTGCGCTCCGGCATTGGAAAACCACCATCTTCAAATATCTTCAATGTTTAATGTTTGATTGCCCGAATGTGGGGCCCCCTAGATAGCTAAGGTGGTTTATAAACCCCAATAGCTACGTATAGTTATATCCCCCATGAACCGTAATTATTGGAGTTATAAACCAACTTGGCTATCTAGGGTGCTCCACATTGCTGTATTCACTGTGTGCTTGCAATACTCGCCCACTTGGATGTAAAAGCAAAGCGAGACAGCTTTATGAATAGCATCCTTGCCAAATCCCCGCGACCCTTTAGTTATCAAATATGGCTGGAAAATATCCCATTGATTATGAATCGATTTTATATATGATTAAATCACATTAATAGATTATTAATAGAACATATCCCATTGACTATAATCACAACTGATTGAGAAGATTTCCTCACAAAAAAACACATGGTTATTTACAGATCTCGGAAGCCATGTTTGATTGTGATATGACTCAACAACAACTCGCCATTTCACTGGGCTTTTCAGAGCCCAGTGGTTAGATGTTGCGTTAAAAACTCCAGACCTCGGCTTCCGCTTCATCATGGGGGTACCCCTTGCATCATCCCAGTCATGGGTTACCATGTCAGGAACGATGCCATCAATATCAATGGCCTTCTGCTCTCAGTACCTCGTCAGGATGAAGCTTTAGGTGATGAGCTGAAGCCGAGCATGTTCCAAGCCATGTTTAAATTTTGGGTGCAAATGATGTGTCCTCATCCCATGACGGATCCCCATCAATATACCCTAGTCATGTTAGCATATATACCAGCACCATGGATCCTATGGGATATGTCGAAATCCATGGGGAAATTCCATGCGAAATTTTCACCGTTGACACAATGAAGGGCAACAGCTTCACAGGTTCGATTCTCGGGAAACCAGATCATCATGTAACGGTGCCAGAATCAGATTTGGATAGATTACCGGGGGCAATACGGTATGGGTAGTTGTGAATATATACATACATACATACATACATACATACATCCATACATCCATACATACATACATACATACAGACAGACATACATACATACATACATGAAAATTATACATCGAGTGGTTTCCATCACCATCTTAGTGCTGGAACAACTCGCAACCCATAGGTTGTTTATCACATTTATGTTTGTTAATTGCCACAATATAAGGACCCCCAGTTGTAGACTGTTTTTTGTTCACCCATCCAAGTCTGTATAGATATATCCACCGTAAACCACACGGTGGCGTCCCATAGTCATCTAATTTGGTTATCACTAGATTAACCAGGGTTTATTATGTTTATTGATAACAACTATACTTAGATGGGGTTATAAATATAAACCAACTTATGACTATGCGGCACCCCCTAGCATAATTGGCTTGGTGATAAAAACCCAATTACAATTTGCTGATTAAGTTGCAGAGAAAAAACGGGTGTGTAAACCAACAAAACTATCATAGCTATCCTTTGGAACCAAGATTTCTGCATCGATCTTCGTTGCCGCGTTGCGTGTCAGGCAGTATATATGGTGCGGGCCTCGGGCCTCGCAGGGCCATGGATGCCATGGGTTCCAGCTTTCACGAGGTATTTGGACATTTCTTGTTTTAGCTGTATCATATGATCTAATAAACCATGATATATATATACGCATAATTATATATATATACGCATAATTATATATATATAGATAATTATATATATATTGGTGTATATATATATATTGGTATATATATATATATTGGTATATATATATATATAGGTGTATATATATATATATATTGGTATACATATATATATTGGTATATATATATTTATATATATATATATATTGGTATATATATTTTTATATGTTTATATATTTTGTTTTTGCTGAATACAATGTGTGATTATTTGGATATGTTGTTTCAGTTGGATACAATGTTTTACTTTATGGCTTGATAAATTTGGATATGATCAGATAGATCTAGAATAGCATCCTGGACTAGATAGATTTTGATAGACAAGACGCCTTCACTGAAATGCGAATGATATTGAAAAATCATATTATATCTGATCTACCCACTCCAGCATGACTGTGGTTTATACGGATGAGGGAACATTTAATGGTTTATTGGTGTTTTTCCTTCAAGATGCAGGGAAGGAAGGGCCATGACTTCAATCATCTTCGGATGGCACAGCTGAGCGCTGCATACCCCAAAGTGGCAGTTTTTGCCTGCCCCAGTTATGTTTGTTCAATGGCCATTTCAGGAACCTAAATTGGAGGCACCTACCATATGTGAGGCCTCTTTTTTAGGCCTATGTAAGGGCATATCCCCACAAAATATGGCCTTTTATGGTACAGTACCTCCATTTTAGGATTTGTTGCTGTGTAAACACATTATTTTGGGTAAATTATAACGACCTCACCTCGCGACCTCATTGGTGCTTCAATTCAGGTCAGTGAATTATTACCCAGATGAATACTATATAGTTAGAAGCATCATAAACAATAGTGGAGTTATGTTCACCAACTCAGCTATCGTTTGCCCGGCAGTGTATGGATTTGATTCCCTATTTTCAGAGAAACCCAAATATGTGGATCTACATGTGTATATTTAAAATACATATATCTGGATGAATTCCAATGACTATCATCCCCAAACGGCCATATGATGACAGCTATTTTCAGGTCAGCCTCAGGTGAGTGATTTACATTGTACTAAATATACATGAACATAGACTCATTAAGTATACTATATTGTACTAAATTTGGATTGTACCTGGTGTATGTATATATATATATATGCCCTCTGGTTATTTAACGTAGTTATGGAGAATCACCATTTTTCATAGGTAAATCATGAAAACACATCTATAAATTGGCCATTTTCCATTGATTCTTGCACAGATTCTCAGCATCATACGCTCCCTTGGCCTGAACTTGTTCCTCGGGTGCCAATAATGCTTTACTTAAATCCCCATCCCTAGTGGAAAAGATTTAACTAGCCACTGGGGATAGGTTTTTCTTCCATATCCTTTGTCTTGTTGCTTAAAATCCGAACTATATATGTTTTTTCAAATGCGGGTATATCCATTCTCCACAAATGGTATCCCTTTTTCCCTTCCCAATCCTTTGGAATATTACAAAATTAGGCCAAGCTAGGATTGTTTCATCCATTTTAATCTTTTAAAATGTTGGGATTTCAATAGGGATATCTACTTTCACCAGCACATATGAATTTCAGGCTATCTGAGATTGGCACAGCTTCACCCTGAGACCTGTCAGGTGCCAAACTTTGTGATTTACCATGTGACCAGTGATTTATTTTTCAATAGCCATTACAACATGTTAGAACCACCATAAAGGCCTGTAGTTATATATATATAGTTATTTTATAGTTTTATCTAGTCCATAAATCATCTATAACTAGTCCATAAAATCCATCTATAGTCTATAGTTACATATGCATATGCTCCAAAAATCATCACAAATCATCATAAATCGTCAGAAATCCACACCAAAATCCCCAAAAATCCACCTGGGGGACAGGCTTTGGCCTCGGTCTCGCTGCGGCCCTTCAAATGTTTGGGGAACCCCGACGGCAGCGCCTCTTTGGGCGCGGATCGCAGCATCTTGTGCTGGCAGCGAGGCGATCATCAGGCGGGTAACCATGGCACTTGGGATGGGGGTGAACATGAGATTTTCTGATCATTGGTGATCTGCTGATTGGTATAACCCCATAAACTTCATTAAAAACCCAATTATAAAATATTATAAACCCTGTCAAGTATAGATACAGTATATCTACCATAAACTGATTGGTGGTCACTGGAACATGTCTTTTACTTTTTCCATATATTGGGAATTTCATCATCCCAACTGACGAACTCATATTTTTCAGAGGGGTAGGTCAACCACCAACCAGTCTGTTTTTTCGTAGTGACTGCACCCATCCAAGTGTAGATATATCTCACTTGTATATCGTTTTCTATGTGGGTATACACAATAAAAAACATACACATAAACCATACGAGTATCCCCCAAATCACCATTTTTATAGGTGGTAAACATCCCATTCCCAGTCATGGGTGGTAAACATGGCATTGTTTTAACCACATGAGCGATCCCGTTCTGCAGGTGTGAAAAAAATCGCTGTTTTCAATGGTGAAAAATATGGCGGTTTCAAACCAGTCCTGGGGGATCCCCAGTCGTCACCATGCGGTTCAAGACTACAATGGTCTAATTTAGTAAACTTGTATATATATATATATAATAATGTAATAATAATAATAGATAGTAACCAAGAAGGATCATGGTAATAATGATACATGAATATTGGTTTAAATTAATGATCATGATGATAATAACAACAATCAAAACAACAACATCTAGTAATGTAATATTATGTAGTAATAGTAACAATGATAATAGTCTACTTTGCATATATGATAATAGTCTGTGATAGCAATCATGATAGTAATAGTCTAATTTGCATATATGTCTTACTAATGATGATAATAGCAACAATGATAATAGCGACAATAGTCAAAAATAATAATATAACGTGTGTATCCAGATCACTGGGGACATTCATAAAGCATACCGTGGATGGACAAAACCCTGCACCGGTTGCAACTGGCTTTTGGCTCAGGATTTATAGTCACTATAGATCTATAGTTTCCCCGCCATCCCCTCATACAAGAGAATGAAGAGCCGCAAGAAAGGGGCTACGTAACCATGAGATGATGGGCGTTCGGAACAACGGGAAAAAACAAGACGACGCTTTCATGGGAGTCCATTGGAATCCCCACATCCTTTAACCGAGCAATATGGAGATGACAGAGGGCATTATTGCTCCAATAGTGCGGGCAGGAGGAGACATCAAAACAAGAGGGAATCTCTTAGCTTAGTTAGTTAAGTTATGATTCCTACAATGTGGGCCATCCTAGATAGCTAAGTGAGTTTATAAACCCATGAGCTATAGCTATATTCCCCATAAAAGATAGTTTTTGGAGTGATTTGCACCAAATTAGTAATCTAGAGCGGGGCCACATTCTAGTTGAGTATCGTGTTAGTTTTCCTGTTCGTTTTCGTTTAGTTCACTCGTCAGCACAACACCATCCAAGCACATGACTTGCGTGGGTACTTGGATGTCCCTCTCAACCACAGGTGTAGATTGGGGAGATGTAGCTATGACACAATCAATTCCATTGAGAGTTGTGTAGTTATAATCGATATAACGACACATTTCAAGGCTATATAATGATGGGATTTTTGGGTATCATACGGGATATAAATCTGCAATCCAACCTATAACTGGGATCCCTTTCCTGTCATTTTTTTGGGCATTGCAGTTGCGCTGCTCATTGTTGGCACTATTGACCATTAACTTTTAGGGAACACACAGAGGGATTTTCCAATATCAATCTCCGGAAAAAAATTGACGCTGCGAAAATCATCAGTTTATAAATCAGAGAGTGAATGTTGGTTTTGTTGAGCCCAACGATATTTATAAACATTTTTTTGGTTGATAACATATAATTACCCTCCAAGTGTCATCATTTCCATGGCAAGCTGGGAAATCCCCGTGGCCTAAATAGATGTTATACATTGTTATACTGAGAATATCATCAAAGTCAATGGGGATTTTTTTCCAGAAAAAAATGGTCCCAAAAGTGGCTGGCTGTAGAGTGGGAGTTTTCAGATCCTCAAGGTGAATAAGCATGACACACTGCTCCGATTTCTCCGTCGATACATCATTGAAGCCTCACCAGCTCTGGATTGGATCCGGACACGGGACTTAGCCCTTCGAAATATGGGATACCCTCTGGTAAACTAACATAGCTATGGAAAATCACCATGTTTAATGGGTAATCCCACTATAAATCACCATTTTCAATAGCTATGTTAAATTACCAGAGGGTATATGGGTATGTCACCTAAAACATTAACATTAGATTTAACCTAGTGGCTGGAAGGGAGCAATTTGGAGCTATGGATATCTAGATTCCCTACTAACCCGGGAGCCAAAGAGCTATAGAGTTTCCAGCCACATGATACGGTAAGGTAAGCAAGCAACATTGGCATTTAACATCATTTAACAAACAGCACTGGAGCAGCGCTCGAAACCCCTGTTGCTTCATGATTAGGAAAGGAAATTATCATTATTCAATATGGGAATCCTGTTCTTAACCATTATTTAATGGAATGACAGAGGGTTTTGAACGGCTCTTCGCCTTAACAATACAGATTCCCCCTATATTTGCTGCAAACCCAATATGTCTTGGTTCATTTCGGCTGATTGGCAGTTCAGTTAACTATAATGATTTTGGATGCTTTCACATGTATACCCCACAATTGACGGGTCTTGTTTTGAGGGCTTTAGCCTCGAGCTGCCACAATTCATCATACTACCTTCTTCGAACCAGTGATTATGACATTAAGCTCTTTTTTTTCTGTTTAACCAGCCAGTTTTTGATGGTATTATACCAACAAATGGGCATTGCGGCATTGCCCAGATAAGTTCTCCAGATTTTGTCACTCATCTCTTGCAGTAGTCCACCTCCGGCCCTTCGGGGTAAGTTCACAATAGTTTCAACCATCAATGTCTTCAAATAAAGTCCTTTACCACGTATTTAAATGGGGTGACTTACTATGACTTATTAAAACTGACAAAAGGCCAACTGTTTATAAGAAAAACAAGAAGAAATATTAATCCAATGATCATCATAGTTGGTGTTTTTATCTCAGATCAAATCCACATTTGGAGTAGTGTTAAATCGAATGTGTTCATTCATTGACATGACTTTTGTTTCTTCTTGCTTAATCCCAGAGTGTTTGATGCTTAAATCAGTGAAACATAGCTATAGAGCCATTCTGGTCGAACTGGATGAACCGCAGTTACCCTCTGGTTTCTACGTTTACATAACTATGGAAGTATCCACCATGCTATCAATGGGTAAATCCACGAACTAAATAGGCTATGTTCCATAGCTATGTTTGACATAACCAGAGGGTTATGGTCCCATCGAATTCGCCGCTGCAGTTGATGGTTGCCTTGTCCTTCCTTCCGATGCTGGGCGGTGTGCTGAGCTATCTGACGCTCATCATCTGGGCGGCCACTTGGATCGTCACGGCGCGAAATTCCGACGGTTGGTGCAGGTCAAATAGCATTTCGCAGCGCGAAATGGAAAGTATGGAAAGTGATCCAGGGAAAATATCTATGGTTTTTCGAAAAACCACATTAGTATGAGCTTGAGATATCTTGAGATGACGAGCATATGTTTGGAGGTTGACACCAACCAGCTGATTTTTCACCAAGAAAACCATGAATTTAAGCAACAGAAATTAGGGAGTTAACCAAGACTGGGAATTCAAGCAACAGTTGGGATCAAACCAACAATAGCAGGGATTTGACCCAGAAAACCTATGGTTTTGTCCAACAAAAATGGTGGTACCACCAACAGTGGGGATTCTTCGATTTCATCGGATTCAGCAGCGAGAAAAACGGTGGTTTTCAGCAAATGGATTGAGTTGGGGAAAGATCGGAAATCCACGGTATGTTCCGTCAAATACCTTAGCTTCATTTCTGGCAGGACAACATCTCCAGCATCCTTCCAAAAGTGCGAAATGTTTTGTTTTGCTAGTTTTTCAATGCCCATTTGGGATGTTGAAGTCTTCCATTGAAGTAGATTCTTTTGTTTGTTTCGGAGAGTTATGGATGTTCTGAGTGTAACCTGAAAATTTGGGGCTGCAGGTTGATGATTCCACTCTTTGAACCATGGTTTTCGGTGACATTTGGAGTTTCACAGCAACCGAAATGGACATAGCATCTCCTGCCGAAATGGCCAACCTGTGGCCGTGTGGCCTATTGGGGGAGCAGTGGGGTGTGACTAGTGGGTATAAGCATGGGCCCCCAGAAGTTGGGATATATCCCCCATAGCTATGGTTGGAACACCCCCAAGAATAGGCGGCCACCCAAAGATGAAGAGGTCGAGGTACCTCTGCCGTGGAAGGCCCGACTCCATTGTTGGGGAAGTGGTTTGAGGCGAAAATATGCGAAAATGGTTTGCCTTCCATTTCCCAAAACGTAAAGCCTGGGTTGCCATGGGGGTTTCCACATGGGTAAACCCACAGTGTGCAGTCCTCGTCATTCTTCCACCTGGGTGCATCTGGGGGTTGTTTCCTGCTCCAGGTGACGCAGTATCCTCGAAAGGTGTCACGCCCAGGTGGTGTAAAGTTCGTGAAACGCTGGAGCTTCGCCTTTTCGCGTCGCTTGGGCGAGAAAAGAACGCAGCTTTCGTTCAAAACCATGACATGGAATGACATGAAATTAGCAATCATGGAAGATCCCCAGTTCTGTCGTGGATTATAATTACATGATATGACACGGTGTGTAAACCCCTACCAAAATAAGATGCACGTACAACTAAAAAGGTATGCTACAAGGGTAGGGAGGATTTTTTTAGCTTGACGAACTGGCGCAGGTTTGATGGTGAAGAGTTAGATGAGATCAGGTTTATAAGGGTTCTAGATCCATGAAGTTTCTTGGGGTTTGTCAACAGCAGTATAAGCCATCCTTAAGAACTGCAATTAATAAGTCTTGGTTTTGTTTTCTTGCATTAGTTTGTGTTGGTTTCCTGTTTATATAAGTCTTAGTAACTTGGAGTAAACACCTAAAATGCCATGGTTTGTCATTTTTTGCTATTGTTATTGTTTGGGGGTATGATAATATATTATATACTGTATATACATAGATATTCATTTTTTTGTGCACTCCTATAATATGTGCCATACTCAAGAGATGGATTATAATGGATTATATAACAGATATTACCATCTGGTGATTTAACATAGCCATGGAACATGATCCATTTATAGATGGTTTACCTATAAAAAATGGTGATTTTCCATGGCTATGTTAAATAACCAGAGGGTAATAAATTATGATTATATAATAAATTATTGATGTATGATTTTCCATACCTCATCCTTAGGGGATGGTTATCCATTTATGTTTGGACTGACCATCAACCATCAATGCATATCAATCCCATGTAACTTGACCGTACCACTCAAACAGGTACCACCATGAAGTGATGGTTTCGCTACTGTTAAGGGAACCACTATACAATATCAAGATGTATAATTAAGGTGTATGTAAAAAATGACATCTGCATAGACCATCCAGACAACAAGTTCATGCATGTTTGGGAACTCATCAACATAATCTCACAGATTTGCGCTTCAAAAACCAGCCGAAAGTCATCAGCTGTGCCAAATGGTTGCATGCTTTTGTTCGCTGTGAGGCTTTAACCCCACCTCCTATTACTTTATCCTGGTGCTGGTTCTCCGCGACCTCTTGATTGGGATGACGCCGGTGCTTCGGTTCACCTGAAGGGTTCACCGCTTCCAGAGGTCGATGAGGTCAATGTTTTGGTGGTCAAATTCTGTGAGTAGATAGAGTTATGACCCTTAAGAGTTGTAAATGGGATGACTCCTGCAGCTGAGGTTATATATATATATATAATTATATGCTACGCTACTGTCCGTTCTCTTGCACGTGCAGACTTACGTCATGCTCCGCTACTGTACGTTCTCTGGCACTTGTACACACACACACATCATGCTATTCTACTGTACGTTCGCTTGCACACAGACGTGCGATCTTTTACCTGCCCACACAAACAAGGATTGGGGTTGGGTTGGGTGGGGCAACAACGTTCACTTGTGCGCGCACAGGTCATGCTACGCTGAAGATGTGTTACTTAGTGTTACGTCATGCATGGAGTAAGCTGGGGCAGAATGAATTTTTACTTGCAAAATCTTGCACACATGTAAGGATACGCTATTATGCACTTGAACACACACACATGGAATGCTACGTTGTAAGATCTTCTCTTGCACTTGCACACACAGACACACACATGTGGGATGCTACGTTTTAAGATCTTCTCTTGCACCGTGTAACATTCGAAATGCTACGTTGACAGATCTTATGTTGCACTTGCGCACACACACACACGGGATGCTACGTTGTGATATCTTCTCTTGCTGGTACACAGCAAATTGATCGCTTTTGGAACCACTTAAAAAGAGCAAATGCACAGCCAGATGAAGAACCGCACTGGGACTGACCCTGAATAGTAGATTCTGGGACGGAAATTAGCAAGGGATCTTCAGACACAATTTGGTAAAGTGACACCTGACCGGCAACATGATATGCGAGGAACAAGGCTGTTGAAACTTTTCGTTGTCCAATGATCCTAACAGGTCATTCAGGAAGTGGCACAACGTGAGGCGTTTATTTATGTACATTGACTTCAGAAACACACGGTTGCGGTGGTCCGTGATGCCGTGCTTGTGCTGCGGCACGCCAACCCCAAAGACCAACCCCAAATAAAAGGTCTGCAGCCATAGGGAGTGATGAGGGAACATCTTTCACCAAACCCAGGAAAAAAAGCTAATCACAGAATTAATTAACTAGTTTAGTTGTTAAATCTTCACCGGATAACACCCCCCAAAAAATAGAGGGTATGTAAAGTTACGATAATTAGCTAGAGTTCTCTTTGGAACATTTTGGAAGCAATCAATTAATGTTAAAAAATGTAAAGTATAATATGTAAATTATTGTTTCTTTTGGGGTAAACAAATCAGAAATAGGCTTGGTAAGTTCACCTCTACAGTGACTCAACCAGTTTTGTTCAGCGAGGTCATCTTGGCTTCGCTGAACGAGTTGCTGTTTCTGCTCTGGATCGTGACCTTGACGTCCTATGCCCCCCTGCAGGCGGTGGAACCGCCTGCGGAAAAAAAAAGGACTTCACAAATCTTCACAAAGGGGTTTTGTAAGTTTTATACTATATATACCAGTAGTACCGCACAAGGCGGTGGCGGAAGTTTCAAAAACAGGAAACCTATAGGAGAGATTGGTTGTTGTGAATCAGGGATGGCAGAGCGAATCCACTGATGGACCGAAAGGTGCTTGAGGTCTCCTCTCTTTCTCTCTCTTTCTCTGACTATCTACCTGCCTACCTACCTATCTATCTTCTATGTATCTGTCTATCTATCGATCTATCTATCTCTCTCTCTCTCTCTTTCATCTAATTACCTATCTATCTATCTGTCTGTCTATCTATCTATCTATCTGTCTGTCTATCTGTCTAGCCGTCTACCTGTCTATCTGTCTATCTATCTATCTGTCTATCTGTCTACCTGTCTATCTGTGGTGCAGTGCCATTCAGTGTAATGTAGTGTAGTGTAATGTCGTGTAGTGGAGTGTAATGTAGTGGAATGTAGTGTAGTGTAATGTAACTTAGTGTAGTGTAGTGTAGTGTAATTTCGTGTAGTGGAGTGTAGTTGTGTAGTCGTAGGTGTAGTTGTAGTGTAGTGGAGTGTAGTGTAGTGAAATGTAGTGAAGTGTAGTGGAAGGTAGTGTTATGAAAAACTTGCAGCCACAGACTGGGCCAGGTCAAAATGTTTTTTTTTCATTTTTTATCGTTTTGGTTATCATTTTATTTATCTTTTTTTTTTCATTTATGTTTTCATTCATTTTTTTTTTATCATTTTATTTTTCATTTTTTTATCATTTTTTTATCATTTTATTTTTCATTTTTTTTTTATCATTTTTTTATCAGTTTTTTAATCATTTTTTCTTCCAGTGGTGCAAAAAAAAATCCAAAAAATGGAAAATTGCAATTTTCCTCGTTTTTTTCATTTTTTTATCATTTTTTTATCATTTTTGCTTCCGGTGGTGGAATTGATGAAAAATGTTAAAAAATGATGAAAAATGATAAAACATGATAAAAAATGATAAAAAAATGATAAAAAAATGAAAAGCATGAAAACAACTCGAGGAAAATTGCATTTTTTTATTTTTCGGAAAATTTTTGCACCACTGGAAGCAAAAATGATGAAACATGATAAAAAAATGAAAAAAATGAAAAAAATGAAAAAAAAAATGGAAAAAAACCCGAGGAAAAATGCAATTTTTCATTTTTTGGAAAATTGCAATTTTCCTCGTTTTTTTTTCATTGTTTTTTTTTCATTTTTTTATCATTTTCCATCATTTTTCATCATTTTTCATCAATTCCACCACTGGAAGCAAAAATGATAAAAAAATGATAAAAAAATGAAAAAACTGGAGGAAAATTGCAATTTTTTATTTTTCGGAAAATTTTTGCACCACTGGAAGCAAAAATGATGAAACATGATAAAAAAAATGAAAAAAAAATGAAAAAAAACCGAGGAAAATTGCAATTTTTCATTTTTTGGAAAATTGCAATTTTCCTCGTTTTTTTTTTTCATTTTTTTTTCATTTTTTTATCATTTTCCATCATTTTTCATCAATTCCACCACTGGAAGCAAAAATGATAAAAACATGATAAAAAAATGATTAAAAAAATATAAAAAAAACTCGAGGAAAATTGCATTTTTTTATTTTTCGGAAAATTTTTGCACCATTGGAAGCAAAAATGATGAAAAATGATTAAAAAATGAAAAAAATGAAAAAAAAATGAAAAAAATGAAAAAAAATGAAAAAAAAAAGAAAAATAAAATGATAAAAAAATGATAAAAAAATGAAAAATAAAATGATTAAAAAAAAATGAATGAAAACATAAATGAAAAAAAATGATAAATAAAATGATAACCAAAACGATAAAAAAATGAAAAAAAAATATTTTAACAATTTCCAATGTGTAGCTGGCTCGGTTTTTCATAAAGGTAGTGTAGTGTAGTGTAATGTCGTGTAGTGGAGTGTAATGTAGTGGAATGTAGTGTAGTGTAATGTAACTTAGTGTAGTGTAGTGTAATGTAATGTAGTGTAGTTTAGTGGAGTGTAGTGGAGTGTAGTGTACTGTAATTTAGTGTAGTGGAGTGTAGTGGAGTGTAGTTGCGTTGTTGTAGTTGTAGTGTTGTGGAGTGTAGTGTAGTGTAATGTAGTGTAGTGTAGTGTAATTTAGTGTAGTGGAGTGTGATGGAGTGTAGTGGCGTGTAGTGGAGTGTAATGTAGTGTAGTGTAGTGGATTGTAGTGTAGTGGAGTGTAGTGTAGTGTAATGTAGTGTAGTGTACTGTAATTTAGTGTAGTGGAGTGTAGTGGAGTGTAATGGAGTGTAGTGGAGTGTAGTGGAGAGTAGTTGTGTAGTTGTAGTTGTAGTGGAGTGTAGTGTAGTGTCATGTAGTGTAGTTTAGTGTAATTTAGTGTAGTGGAGTGCAATGGTGCGTAGTGGAGTGTAGTGTAGTGTAATGTAGTTGTAGTTGTAGTGTAGTGGAGTGTAGTGTAGTGTAATGTAGTCAAATGTAGTGGAAGGTAGTGTAGTGTAGTGTAATGTAGTTTAGTGGAGTGTAGTGTAGTGTACTGTAATTTAGTGTAGTGGAGTGTAGTGGAGTGTAGTTGCGTTGTTGTAGTTGTAGTGTTGTGGAGTGTAGTGTAGTGTAATGTAGTCTATTGTAGTGAAGCGAAGCGAAACGACATCTGAACCTCCAAAAGTGGTCCGAACGTGGTGTGTTTTGTACATGTTGACTTCAAAATGTGCTTCGCGCCACAACGGCGTGCACTTTTTCGAGATCTGAACTTCCAAAAGTGGTCCGAACCCCTAGTGTTTTTAACATTTTGACTTCCAAATGTGCTTCGCGCCACAACGGCGTGCACTTTTTCGACATCTGAACCTCCAAAAGTGGTCCGAACATGGTGTGTTTTGTACATTTTGACTTGGGAATGTGCTTCGCGCCACAACGGCGTGCACTTTTTCGACATCGCCACTTCCAAAAGTGGTCCGAAGCTGGTGTGCTTTGTACATTTTGACTTCAAAATGTGCTTCGCGCCACAACGGCGTTCACTTTTTCGACATCTCAACTTCCAAAAGTGGTCCGACCATGGTGTGTTTTGTACATTTTGACTTGGAAATGTGCTTCGCGCCACAACGGCGTGCACTTTTTCGACATCTCAACTTCCAAAAGTGGTCCGAGAATGGTGTGTTTTGTACATTTTGACTCGGGAATGTGCTTCGCGCCACAACGGCGTGCAATTTTTCATCTCTCGTCTGGCCAGCTGGCTCCGCACCCGCCGCTTTAGCGAGCCTACTTTTCGACCCTCCGGAGCCACAAATCATTGGAAAAAACACAGTGTTTCGCGACTTTCCTACCTTTTCGCGCATCTGTATCTTCTGTCTTCTTACTCTTTCTCTTCTGATCTTCTCTCTTCTAATCTTTCTCTTCTCTCTGCCTCTGCCCTACTCTGCTTTTCATCTGTCCATATTGTCGGAAGTTTGACTTCTAAACTTCCTTCGATTAGAATATATTAGATATATTTAAGGAATTTAAGTCTGGGATTAGAACTTAGCTTATATATGTATATAATTGTATATAATTGTATATATATATATATATACACACACACATATATATATATATATATCAAGTTTATGAATAGGGTTCCATTACATAAGTTATAATATTATATATATATATGTCAGGGATTATTACTGGGTTATACTACCTAAATCTAGCTAATATGCTAGGGATATTTATGTTAGTGATTATCATTGTCACAATCCATTATTGTGAACGTGGTTGATATTGATGCGTATCGTTTCAGCCTCTGATTTATGTAGACATGAAGGCATACTTCAAATGTTGCGTGATTGTTGCTAAAGTTTAAGGTTGCCCGAACATTGCCGTAACATGTGCATGTAGATATGCAACCACCAAAACAAACCCCATCAACCCCCCCTTTTGTGTTGTACTCTCAGACAGTGAAACATGACGTCGACAGTTTTTGTTAGGCGCGGCTGTGGCCCTGGAAAAGTCAGATGGCCAATATCCTTGATTCAGGTGCGGTTTCATTCGCTGGGCTGTGTAAATGACTGCAAATTCACGATGGTTTATGGTGTTTATATATATATGTATGTATGTATGTATGTATGTATACATGTTTAAACTATAATTGATTAACTACTTATAACTATATTCATACTTAGTTTTTGTTTACACTTATAAAACCATTTATAGATGGGAATAAGCCGCTTAGAGGACATCTACTGATTATATAGCGGATTGTGATTCTCACCTACGATTCGTGATCCTCCTTTTGTACACGGTTTGTTTGTTTGCCATTCGCCTTTTCCTTTTTTTGGATGATGTACCCTCTGGTAAACTAACCGTTTGCGAACTGGATAATCACCATCTTTAATAGGTAAATCAACATCAAAACTGTGCCATGTTCAATAGCTATTTGGCAAATTTCCAGAGGGTAAGTGATTTTTTTCAAGCACGCGAAATGGGAACAAAGCTGTTCACCAATATTGCGACCGATTGGGACTTTGCTTTGGATAGGTTCATTGAATGGGACAATATGGGACATGAATATAATAACCAATAATCCATTTAACATTTGGATGTTTTTTCAAGGAACAAATAGAATAAGTAGATGTGTGTATATAAACGAACTTCATGGGCACACTTCAGTTTTTATCTTTTGTGGCTATAGATTGGATGTATAGTAAGTCGCTGAGAACAATAATATTATATGTTAGTATCCAAGATTGGCCATGTTTTTTTCTGTGAATATGCCGGTTATTTGGAGGTTTCTGTTTGGATTCTTTCATTTTTCCTATTTGTTTATGAGGAATTGTGCTGTTGAACCTCTCGTGCTACAAAAAGAGAGGCTGTTTGGCTCTGGGCCTTTTCCAAATGATGTCCATCCCTAGAAGAATTGACGGGTTTATTTTTCTAACCACCAACCAGATACGAATTTGACCACGAAACATATGTTGCGCCGCAAATTTGGAAGCTCAAAGAGATCAAGAATATTCAAGAATTGTATGTATTTCAAACTGGTGATATCACCAAATTTTGGCCATTTTCATGGTGAAAATTAAGGTATCTATCAAACTTCAGAGGTTTTTCCACAGAAATTTCGAGGTTCCCACTCCGAGTCACCATTTTTCACCAAGGCTTGACCGGTTGCCTCATCGCCGTCGTCGTCCTGGGCTGTATGCTCTTAGATTTCAACGTTGCTCGGGGGACGGTGGTGATTCAGATCCTGTCCATGTGCCTTGGATGTTGGGGATGTCAACAGTGTCAACTCCAAGAAGAATGGAGATTTTTTGAATGATTTAGATAGACTCTGAAAATGATTTAGAATGATTTGGGTAGATATACTTTTTCTAGAATCTGTTATTACCCTTTGCTGCATTTAGATAGACTCTGAAAAATATATTAAATGACATGTTTTCATATTTTTCTATGTGACCATTTACCCATTGCTATGGCATTTCCATGGGATGAACATAGCACATTGATCCCATGACTATATCTTGACCATGGCACATATGTTTTTGGTCCCAAATGATCCAGTTCGAGGGCAGTTGCCCCCTGCGTGATCGAAAGTAGGTTGGTGGTGTGATACCTTCTACAGGTAGTCAAGCATGGCTTGCTGGAAAATCGCCTACTTGTATAGTTCAATTCTAGTTCGATGATTTTCTGATTGAAGTATCCATCTATTCGGTGATTTTCCGGCAAGCCATGTTTGATTACCGGGTAGAGAACAGCCTGGTTTTGGGACTCATGACATGACCCATATGAATTCCTGTCAGCCAACCATGATGAAATGACATGAAGATGACATGTTGGGTTTTTTTCACACTGCTCATTTTGTATCATTTTCTCAGATTTATGCCCTTTTATGCCTTTTTATGGCAGTGGCAATTGGGTTCCAGGGATCACCGATCCTCATATGTCTGTGGCTCGGCTCGCCTCACTTCAGGATGGCGTTCGTTCTGCTGAGCACTGCTTTTGTGGCTGTGGTCCTGCTGGTCCTCTATCGTGCCTACAAGCCGTCCAAGACTTACGGCATTTTCTTGAGCCATCACAAGCTTGGAGCAGCAGTGCAACTTGATAAAATTGATGGTAAAATTGCACATAAACTTACGGCACTTGTGAAATGGATAAACTCCAAGACAAAGTGTCGGTGTGTTGAGGTGCTTGGTTTATCTGCCATCATTTGGTCAGTAGACAAAAGTTCATCAATATATCAATTGTATGTGGACGAACCTTACCCCTCTTACAACCAGGTAGGATGAACCAAGCAGGTCTCAAATGTGGATGCTCAGATTTTCACAAGAACAGCAAATCAAGAGGCTTGCCAGTTGCACCTGTCA